TTTTTTTAGTTTTGGGTAAGAACTGAATATTAAATATGGCAGTCCCAAAAATATTATTGATAAAAAATGATATAAAGTAGATTTGGTAGGGTTTTCTCTGAATCCCCATATTTTAAATACAAGCTGATCTTGTGCTTCATTATAAATTTCTTGTAGATTATTTATCTCAATTGATTGATAGCCTATAAATATTTTAAAAATTAGAAATATACATTTTATACTTTTAAAAGCAACAAAAACCCTAATGAAGGAATAAAACTGGATAAAATTGGATCTAACAAGTTCAAAATGAAAAACAGGCCAAAACTATTAGATTTAATTTTACAATATATGAAAACCAAGTCAGGAAGACAACAATTTAAACCTTTACAATCCCCTATATGCAATTCGTAAATGTTACACTCTAAATAGCTGCTATACTGTCATAGGGCACTCCCTTTCTTTTCTAATTCAGCACCTTTTAACGTAATAAATAACACTAGTTTTAGCTTTGTACCCTAACTACTCCTAAAACACACATTTACATACATAATGGTCATGTAATTTTATTAATTTGCACATCAGTTAGGGAATACATGTCTATAATCATGCTGCACAAAAAGTTTTCAATCGTATTCATAAATTCCCATATATTTTTGGTTGTAACACGTTAACTGAGACACCCCTGTTATTTCGTTGTGTTAACTTTTCAAGTATCAATTTTTTAATTCTCACATTCCCACCATCTGCTGAGATCACCTGATCTCCAGATTGCAATGGATCAAATACCTACCCTCACATCCATTTTTTGACCCAAGTAATAAGCCATTATTAGTTTGATAAAGAGTGTTATTTTATTTCCTAAATTAATTTCAATATTTCCCCATTTTCATTTTTTATTATTAGTTAATAGAAGTTTTTACTTTTGACGCGAGACCATTCTATATGTTATGTTGAGTATGGGGTGTTAATACACTGCAACCTAAAAGATCTATTGTGCCCCCTTCTGTCGCCACTGCACTAAGGAAATGTATCAATGCCTATAGCGACCCTTCCAATCCTATTTTCTCAAGGAAGTGTAGGATTTGAAGTGGCTTCAAGTTAGGTAAATCTCCCTCTTCTATTTGATATCCTCCTAGATATAGTGCCCTTGGATTCTGGAGTGCTACACATTCAGTTAGGATGTGAATGGAGGTTTCGTCCTCCTCCTCACAGAATCTGCACTCACTATCCTCTACTACTCTGTTTACTTAGGTGTCCTTTTAGTTGGCAATGCCCGGTAAGGATCCCTGTTACAATACATAGCCTGTTCTTGCTCAGGCAGATGCAGGCTTCCAATCTTTTCTGGTTATATTCACCCACAAGTATCTTGGCCTGTCTCAGCCCCAAGAGATTGTTCCAATTATCGGTTCTTCTAGTGCCCAATTCTTTTTTTAATCTCTTCTATAGCTCTCTATAGCTACATCATGTCCTTCAGAGAGGGAAAGGGTAGAAGCTAGATATCAAGCCAAAAACAGTCAGAAGGAATTCTGAACCTGCCATCACCACATGTGCATGTAACAAGTGTTTCACAGTTTTTCTAGAGTAAGTTCTTAGAGAGCTACATTTCTTTTTCAGTGCATTTTAAGTAAAAGTTTATTTCACCCCGGTTAACTACTTAGCAGACTAGTTGCATGGAAGTTAACTGCACACACACAGAAAGTCTTTGTTAAGGATTGTTGAGGACTATAGTGCCATTCCCTTGAGATTCTCAGCAAAATTTTTCTATTATGCCACACAGGATTAACCCAGTGAGTTAGTTTTAACTTAATAGATCTGGACAGACATCCACACTCATTTATATTTTTATTTGTCTCCAAAAAGATTGTCCCAGATTTTTATTTTTATTTAAAATGTTTGTTCATTTAATCTCTTTCAGCTGTGTTATATACAACCAGAAGCCCCTCATGCAGGGAAACTTGAGCGTCTCAGCTCAACATTATCTATATAGAATCATCAGTGATTTATTTGTAGTTAATTCCCTATTTTATATACCTGAATCCCATTGTCACCATCCCAATTTTCACGGCTCATCAAGCCAATGGTGGAGTTATATTAGGGAATTTTCAATCTTCTTTTCACGCAGCAGCTCACTCCATAATTTAAAGACACTTTTCGGCAAAATTATGATTTGTCCCTCAATTCTGCCTTAACAAACACTAGGAGTTCTGAGAAGTCGGGCGACACCACTGTTCCTACTTTTTTTTAAATGATTTGATAAGTTTTTCCGATATAAAAAGTAATAAATTAAATAATATTCTTGTTCTGGCATGTTCTGATTCAGATTCAGGAGTATCATAATCTAACCACATAGTAGCTTTCCTAGTCCCAGACACTATTCCCTTTATACTATAGAAACAGACTTAGATGACGAAACCACTGACTTAATTAAGTTTGAAGACAAATTTTTCAAAAAAGAATTACTCTCCTCAGGTATTCACAAGCCTAATCCCGTCTATGAGTCAGGGATCCACGAATCTGCCCCTGGAAATAGATATTCATTGCTCTCCGAAATGACACAGTGTTGGACCAAGGATACCCATATCGAGGGGCAAAGTTGAACTCAAAGCAAGTGTCCTAAGTTAATACCCATGAAAAAAATGAAATAAAACCTAGTTATTTCAGTATTGAATGTAGACTTACCATTTGTTTCTCGAAAGCTATTCATAATTCGTTTAGTATTTTTATTCTAAGAAAAACTACATCAAATGAATGGAATTTCTCTACATTACCATTATCAATTCAAACGGAAAAATAACAGTCTTGCTTCAAATTGAGTAGTTTAAATGATAATCATAATTTTATTTTATTGATGGACCACTATTTTAAAAGGCGTTTTTTTATTACCCTGGTTAAATTTCGCACTGCTTATGTGATACAAATAAAAACTGAACACATGAACGAGTAACTGTTTATCACAATAACTACGTAAATAATCATCTACGATAAAGAAAAATTATGATTAACTATTGTTTACTATTTCTATTCTTATTATCATATTTCAGGGTTATATTTTATTTTGTAAATTCTTCTTTTTTAAGATATTGTGTTGAACGCATTACTACTCTGCAAACCAGTTGCTTTTTTTTTAGAGGCATTGGCCTTATTCTTTATCGAAGCACAGACCACCACATTTTTTTATGAATCCCGTTAGAGTAAAGGCCCGTATATATAAACAGAACTTACGTGAGTCGGACTTGGGTAAGTCGTCCTTGAACTAAAATCGAAGTTCGGTTACAACGTCTCTATAGTTCTAGGTGGTTCCCGGTGTTACACTGGAATTTAGAGATGGATATTAGCAAATATGTAACTGTTATGTACATTTACGGATTTGTTACTACCCATCTCTAAATTCACGCGATATAACCGAACTTCGATTTTCGTTCAAGGACGACTTACCCAAGTCCGACTCAGCTGAGTTTGTTTATAAATACGGGCCTAATAGGCGAGTTCGGTCAGTCAGGGGCTGGAGCGGGACAAATTTTAGAGTGCTTTTAAATGACATTTAAGCGTGTTAAACTGTCACTAATCGGACTAAACCGAACGCTAAAAGAGTCGTTTGGAGTTAAAAGTGTTAAAGGAGTTAAAGGAACGTGGCAAACCGAACGCAATGAATAAGTGGTGGTAAGTGTTCTGTGATCCCATAGAAAAACTAAAACTGTGATCCCGTTTTTACTTTGACATTTGACATGACAGCGTGTTGACAGATGTTCCTGTTCTGCAAAAAAATATAAAAATTCTCAATTTATTTCAGAATTTTTAGACATTTTTAGGTTCCTTTACAATATGCCTATTTATGAGACATTAAGTAGTGATAAACTTACTGTGGTACTAGATATTGGGGCTTCGTATACTAAGTAAATATGCGACTTCTTATTTTTATATTTAATTACTACCTTATTTTTTAGATTTGGTTTTACTGGAGAATTTGCTCCTAGGACAATAATAAAATCAGTTGTGAGGTGTAAAGAAACAGGCCAGCTAAGGAAAATATGGGACTACAAATCTCCAGAAGATTTGTATGATTTGCTAGTTGAGTTTATACACCTTATATATTTTAAATATGCTCTTCTCAGTCCTAAAGATAAACCAATAATAATTGTGGAATCTCTGTTATGTCCTACATTATTTAGAGAAACATTAGCCAAGGTAAATATTAAATAAAAGTTCCTTTATTGTTGAAGAATAAATGTTCAATTAAAACTCCATTTAATCAACATAATTTAATAATCCTTCAATTTTATTCTAAAAGAGTTTGTTGATTCATATTTTGGTGGATATTTTTCAGGTATTATTTTCACACTATGAAATATCCATGATGCTATGTCTTCCTTCTCACTTAGTTAGTTTGTGCAGTATAGCTGTAGATACTGCTCTAGTAGTGGATATAGGTTATAAAGAAGCAGTTGTTATTCCAGTTTGTCATGGATTGCCTATGATACAAGCTTGGCAGGCCCTACCTTTAGGAGCAGAATCAATACATAAGTAATATTTTTATTTTCCCACATTTCTTGACCTGCAATACCTACACATTTCTTAATGTTTTAGGAAACTTAAAGCTTTGCTTAATAGTAATGATACAGAAATACAGAATTTGACTGAAGAAACAATAGAGGATATAAAAGTGAGGTGTTGTCTTGTAACTGAAAAATCTAGAGCAGAGCAACTAATATTACCTAAACCAGATATAACTCCTTGTCCAGATGTAAAATATCCAATAGGTAAAAATATTTTTATTGCTGAAAGTTTAATACACTAGAAATTCTTTTTTAATTACAGGAGGAACAGAAAGCATAATTGTCACAGGAAAAGTGCGAGAAAAAACATTTGAAATTCTCTATGAAGAAGACAATGATCATCTGTGCTTGTCTACAATGTTACTGGACGCAATTTTGCAAGTCGATATTAATCTTCGGCAAACATTAGCTGAAAACTTGCTTCTTATAGGTGGTACAACAATGATACCTGGTTTCAAAGCAAGATTAAAGGAGGAATTAGAACACCAGTTGAAAAATGAAAGATATAGTAAACTACATTTGAAAAATTTTGCTTTTCATTCGCCTCCATGCAAAGAGAATTATGCATCTTGGTTAGGAGGTAAATTATCATACAATTTTTTGTTAGTTGTTTTTTGAAATATCTTCATTTTAGGTGCCATATATGGTGCAACAGAACTTTTAAATATGAAGGCTATTACTAAAGAAAACTATTTCAAAGAAAATCGACTACCAGATTGGGTCCATTTAAAAGATGGTGCTAGAACATTATAATATAATTATTAGAACTAATTAATTTATTAACAAAATATTTTTTATTTTAATACTGTAGCTTTCAAGTATTGCATCAATCTATTTAACTTGACAAGGATATGCTTAAAATAAAACAATTTCAAGTAAATATTTTATTGAACATATTATCCATATTACAAATAAAAAGTGGCTACCATTGTCCATAAATATGTCCTCAATTATTGTTATTTATAGAAATGTTTACATTTGAATATTCAATTTGCACAAAGAAACTACCAAACTAAAGGATCTAGATGTTCAAACAATTGTAGCAATTTGAAATAAAACCAATTTCAATAAAACCAGAGTGTTTTGTGGAAAAAGTGACATGTAGAAGACATTACCTACTTACATTAATTTCATAAGAATTTATTATGACCGGCAGTAGATTTTTAAAATTTGTCTTATTTAAGTCTACATGAATTCCTTTAGAATTACAATTAAAAGATATGTAACAGTAACTTTTTAAGTTTTATCCAAAGCTTCTCACAAAGTAAGCAATTAAGCAAACAAAAAAATGGTGTAATGAGAAACTTTTTTTGCACTAATAATATATGTTCTCAGTAAATTTTAATTCATTTTTTTTTCTAGATCTTTCCACAAATATTTTGTGTAATGTCATATTTTTTCTACTTTATAATATAGGTAGTGCCTTCTATGATTTTTGAATTGTTTAAAGCAATTTAAAAATTTAAATGTAAGTAGAACCAGTTATATTATATGATCTTTTTAATATACATTGAATGGCAATTCACATGCTTGAAAGAAAATAGATTGTATAATTCATATAAAATAAAATTCACTGAACCATTTTTGAATAGTTAACTTGATGAATGTCTTCTGAATTGGTAGACCCTGTGAAATTGGTGTCAAAATTAAATTACGGTTTCTTATCGGGATTATTGTTTTGTGGATAGGGCTTCACTAAATGTTCTGAAAATGCAAGTACACTTTCATGGCCTCTAACTTCTTTCTCAAGAAGTGGCAATCTTGTGACATGAAAATCTTCATACAAATCATTAATTTGATCCAAATATTTTTCCTGAATTTTATATCTAGCAGCACACATTTGACAGGTTTTGTTTTCTTTATTGAATAATAATTGATTGACAATTATGTTGTGAGTATCAATTTTGCATTTTGTCAATTCTTGTACTAAACGTTCTGTTTCATAAAGAGACAAAAACTCTGCAATGCAAACACAAATAAAAGTGGTTTGATCAGGATTTTTAAATTGTTCATTTACTTGTTTTATTACACCTAACATTTCTTCCATTTTTGAGGAGAAATTGTCAGCACTAAAGTCAGGTATACCTAGGAGACCACTGATTTGTGATATTAGTGGAGATATTTTTAATTTCAGTTTCAATAATTTTCCTAATCCCTTTTCAACTACTTGTGGGAAAGAAAGAAGACGTAAAGTGTGACCTGTTGGGGCTGTATCAAATACCACAACTGAGAAATTCATGCTTTTAATTAGTTTCATTACTTCAGCATAGCTCATGGCTTCATCTATACCAGGAAATGCTCCAATTATTTCTTGAATTATACCTTAAAATACAACAATTCAGAAAATGTGTTAAAATATCGCTTATTTTATACCTTTGCTCATTTTCATAGCATCTGGTTCTCCATCAAAATATTCATCAGGTAATTCATTGAAGCCAGCATTTGGATCAATCTCCATTGCATACAAATTATCAAACCCCCTTACTTGGGTAGGAATTTTAGTAAATTTTTGATCAAATGCATCAGAAATATTATGTGCTGGATCAGTAGATAAAATTAGTACAGTGTGTCTCACTTTTGCCAATTGAACTGCTAAACTACAGCTAAAAAAGTGTAAAGAAAATAAATATGGAAGAAGTAAATAAACGTAAACCCTTCTTACCTACAAGTAGTTTTACCTACACCTCCTTTACCGCCAACAAAAATCCACTTTAATGTTTCTTGGTCGATTATATTTCTTATTGAGGGTTCAAGAACAGCATAATCGTCAGCCATTTTAATCAAGTTAAAAAGATCAACTTTTATCTCTTAATTTGTAAATTGTATTTTTTTTAATTTAATAACCTTTAAATGCCAAATTTTGACAAATGAGCTGGCAGAAATAACTAAATTGTTTTCTGTATGTCCAAAAAGTAATACATCAAAAAAAAAAAGAAGATTTAAGACAATTGTCAAAAACTTCTTTTAATAAAATGTGGTGGCCTATGGTGGTATGGCATAAAAGTAATTATGCCCTGAAGAGATATAAATTATTTTTGCTGTTTTAAAATTTGTTCCCACTTTACCAGTGAAGATTATCCATATATTAGGTCTTTTCCTTTGCATCGAAAATGTAGCACTGAGCTACGCCACTTCTAAAAATATCCTATCAATACAATTTGTATAAATGGAAGGCTATTTTCAGAAGTGGCATAGCTCAGTGTTACACTTTTCGATGCAAAGAAAAAGACCTATTAAGTATTAGATAAAACTGAATAGAGATTTACCAGTTTCAAATGCCATTTATTTGTTTAGTAACAAACTGTTGGTTTTATAATAAAATCATTTTATACCTGGCTTCTTCAATAAAAATCTTTGTATAGATCAAATTCAAAAATTTAATCAAAAATTGATCATATTCATGCAGAATACAAAACATAACACTATTCCATCACAAAAATTTCATACTACTAAAGTTCAAAAAGTCACTACATGCCTCCACTTTTTTGCAACAATTGAGCAAACCTATTTGTAATTAACAGGGATACATCTATAAATCTATCCACACAATTTGTTAAGCATGTCTCTGTTTTACTATCCAACTTATTTGATGGTTTATCCACACATTTCTCCCAACAGAAGTCATTAAATTCGTGTATCTGCAAATTTAAAATGTGAACTTAACCTTATTACAGAGTTTAAACAACTTACTTGTGCATTAAATTGTGCCTTTTGTTTTTCAACCATTAAAAACTCTTGTAATTCTTTGTCACCTCCTTTACTTTCTAAACCCGAAGAATAACTATCCAAATCCGTCATGATTTATTAAATTTTGGATGACTGCTAAATGCTAAAAAAATTAAAAATGGCGAGTCTGACTTCTGAGTCTTCTCTTCTTTTTTCTTTTGTGATTTCAATGTGACTGTCTACAGAAACCAATTCCAGCATTGCCATTTGAAAAGATTATATTTTTAGAGGAAGCTTTGTTTGGTTTCTTTGAACACTCCGTCGCGGTGAGCGGACAGTCCGTCGACCGCTAAGGACAGCAATTTTCGCCCGAGGTGGTTTGTTAAAAAATATAGAAAATGAAACTTTCTCTATGTCTGTATGTGCTGTTTATGTATTATGAATGTAAACGAAAGGTACTAAAATGGATGCAAATAAATTGTTTGCGTTGTTATTATTGTTGGAAGAGGAAGAACAAGAGGAACTGGCAATTGCAACCGTCAAAGTTTCCAATAAGCCAGTGGATGAGTTGTTTTTGTGTCGCGATACAGAAGGTGCCTTTAATATAACTGTGCAGCGGAGGCTTTTTGGAAATGAAATCAAATTTAGGAAGTATTTTAGACGTTCTACAGATCTTTTTGAATTCGTGTTGAGTTTTATAAAGGACATTATTTCCAAGAAACCTAAAAATAAAGTCATGATGTCATCTGTATGTGTGAATTTGTCACTCATTGTTTTAAAATTAATAACAATATAGTCTCCGCACAAGCCGACGATTCCGCTGATATCAAACTCAACAGATATCAACCGACTCTTCGCGACAAATCAGCGGCATGACGCCGTCCTGCTCAGCTAAGCGGATTCAAGGAAACCATTCCCATTTAAATACTCTGGTTGGATAAAATCGTCAAAACGCGACGGTTGACGGACTGTCCGCTCACCGCGACGAAGTGTTCAAAGAAACCATTAGCCGAGCCTGTCGCCGTCGCCGACAAGTACACTACTTGTCACTGATAAATAATCAAAAACGTTTGTGCGCAACTGCGATTGGTAACATATCCGTGACAAGCGGTCACCGCGAACGACTTGTGTACCAAAATGACTATCATACACTTTAACTGCAAATAAAACGTGAGACAAAAGACTGTAGATTGTGAAGATAGTTTTTAGAATAGATATCAGAAAGATTCGATTCTAAAAATTGTAGTTTTTAATTCTTGTCTAATTTTTTATTAGTTAGAACATTCAATTTTTATCATTTATTGGAATAATAGGCATAATTAAAAACTCAATCAACCATTCCTCTTGGTCCCGTTCTTTTTTTCACTTTTTTGCATCAATTTTACTGACAAATTGTCCACGCTAATGTTTGCTCAGGGTTCAGCCCAGATGTTTGCTGATGGTTTTGACTTGTCGGTAACTTGTCGTGTACTACTAACAAGTGCACCGGGAACGCTGGACGTTTTGTCAAAATCCCTGATTTTCGGCTCTGCGAACGCCTGAAATCAAAATGCGCGCTCATCTGTCGTGGACTTGTCGGCAGGCTCCGCGAACAAATGGATCCCACTTTCACATTAGTCCCACTGGTGTAGGAATGAGAACTACGCCAACGCACGAAGGTTTGTTTCGTTCACTGTTAGGGCAGGATCCACCAATGTAAATTACACCAGTTGCACTACCTTATTTACCCCATTACTTCCTCCTTATTCCTTATATACCCATGTCGAGTGTAATTCACTCCTGCTAAATAGCTGGTGGAGAAAATATCCACCACCCAGACAACACACGAAATCCCACAGATATCCACAGAATATCTTTTGTGGATATCCAATATATCCACAGGATATCATTGATATCCCGTGGATCTAATATGGATATCCAAATGTCCGTCTATATCCAGGATATAGAAGATATCCTATGGATATCCAGCAAAATATCTAATGGGTATCTCCCAGACAATACACGAAATCCCAGAGATATCCATAGAATATTTTTTGTGGATATCCAATATATCCACAGGATATTATAGATATCCAGTAGATCTAATATGGATATCCAAATGTCCGTCTATATCCCGTATATACCTACAAGATATTCTATGGATATCCAGCAAAATATCTATGGGTACCTTTAGTCGAGGTTCATAAGTAACCAATGGATATAGGTCCTATAGATGTTTAACATATCCAGTGTACATCCATTATTTGATATATTTAAGATCTCGAAAACTATATACCTATATGGTGTCGTATTTAATGCTTCATTAATTTTTTTTTGAAAGATAAGTGGAACAATGTACTGCATAATCTAACAAGTATTACAAAATAAAAATTTAAAAAAACCGACTTCAAAAACGTGCAGATGCCACATCTTAACCAAATTTATATGGGACCACCCCTGAGGTACCCCCTTACTAACAAAAAAAAGAATCGTATAAATCGGACAAGGTGGTAAAGCATTATCGCTAAACATACATAAAAAATGAAGAGTTTGAGGATTTTCTCATGGATCCAATTATTAGATTTTGACAAAATTTATATGGGACCACACCTACAGTAGCCCCTTTCTAACAAAAAAGGAATTATTGAAACAGGATACCGTGTTAAAAAAATTATCGCTGAACATACATAAAAAATGAAGAGTTTGAGGATTTTCTCATGGATCCAATTATTAGATTTTGACAAAATTTATATGGGACCACACCTACAGTAGCCCCTTTCTAACAAAAAAGGAATTATTAAAATAGGACACCGTGTTAAAAAAATTATCGCTGAACATACATAAAAAATGAAGAGTCTGAGGATTTTCTCATGAACCCAATCATTAGATTTTGACTAAATTTATATGGGACCACCCCTGAAATACCCCCTTCCTAACAAAAAAATAATCATTGAAATCGAACACCGTGTTAAAGAATAATCGCTGAACATACATAAAAAAAAAATATCGCGACGAATTGATAACCTCCTCCTTTTTTAAAGTCGGTTAAAAATATTCCATATGAAGAAAATCAGCATTTCAGTAGCATAACATCGGAACGCCCTGTATACATCCACACAAGGTTTACTATTCTAGTGTTAACTACTTTTAACGCTACTCCGCATAGGTATAGCATGTAGAGTAGAAAGAGTATCAACATTTTATTTTTATAATTAAATATTGTACACTATACCTAAAAAACCACCAAAATATCATTGAATGTGTGAAGTAAGTTTTAAACTTAATACAACGCAAGAGTTATCTAACATATAAGCATCTTACAAATAAATCTTATTCTTTATTATTATTAATAGGTAAAACAAAGACAAATATTATGAGCAGGCCAAATATATTTAAAAAAAGTAAACTATAGTATAAACATACTATTATATTAAATAACATATTGCATTTAAGCTGAGGAATGAACATAGTACCCGCAGCCAAGGAAAATCTAAACCTAATCACACACAGGACCGACTAGAGGGGGGGGGGGGCAGCTGGGACTAATTCCCGGGGCCCGGACTCAAATGGGGGCCAGGCAACCGTGGCGAGAATTTTTGATTTCTTTAAGAAGTTCGGCACAAGAGGGAGAAAAAGTTTTTGCTTAAACATTTTTTTTTATAAAATTCAATTCAAGTAGAGGAGAAAAAGTTTTTGCTTGAAGCCCTTTTTTTTTTCTTTTTTTTAGAAAATTAAATTCAAATAAATAGAGGAGGAAAAGTTTTTGCTTGAAGCCTTTTTTTTTAGAAAATTCAAGTAGAGGAGGAAAAGTTTTTGTTCGAAGAATTTTTTTTTAGAGAAATTTAAGTAAAGAGGAGATAATTTTTTTTATAAAATTGTCACGGGGCCCGATCTAGAGAATTGTCCTGGGGCCCGGCCTGGCTCTCGGCGAGCCTGATCACACATATATTGGCGCCGCAATTTCAACTGGAATTTTCTTCCTAAAAAAAGACGCTCTGTTGTAGAATTCCTCAAAAAGTGAAACTATATTTTAAACCAAGCTATACCCAAAACGAAAATGAAGTCTGCAAAAAGCCTTTTATGCAGAGTGTCACTTATACAATATATATAACACTAACTAATAATGTAAGGGCAGGATCTGTGTATATAATATACTTATTTATCTAAATTGTTGGTCCAGCTAAACATAATCTAATCTTACTTGTTAAATTCTTCATGTATGCTAGGCATGAATACAAGGCAGATGTAATAAGATTACCTTAACCAGTAAAAAAAAATCTGATGTGCCCAACACATGACTTTCCTATCTAGTTATTATAGGCTTTTTCCGGTTATTTTGTACAACCTATTGCAGCATCTCTATAAATGTTTAGAGGATAAACTAAATATATCATTGTCCACATACATCTACCTCGAAACATTTTTCTATAGATATTCATTGAAAACGAAAATACTGAAAAATTTAAATTTAGCACTTTTCCATTACGGTCCATTTTAGAAAAATCATGTACAAACAAAAATTATAGAGATCGATATCGCAAACAACTTTTAGTTCAACAATTTTCATAAAAATCAGAATTTTGCACATTTTGTCAAATTTCTCGAATACGGACCATTTCAGGAAATTTTGACATAAATCAAAAATTATAGATAATAATATTAGAAGTAACTTTTATTTGAAAAATTTTCTTCTCCAAACATAAATAACAGATATATTCCATAAAATATAAAAACGGCCTCCCATAAAGTACCCCCCTAGATGTTCCGACTTTGTCCAAAATCTAATCATTTCACGTCAAGCCGAAATAAACACACACACAGACATCATCGTGAAAATAGTCAAAACGGATTCAGAGGACCTCAAAACGTAAAAATCCGTCGAACACTCGAGGTCGAAAAAAATCATGATTCCTATACTTTCCTTATATCTGTATACAGATAGGAAAGTAAAAATACCTCTTTCTAATTAATTATAACAACCATTAAACAATAAAAACCAAACCGAATCACCAACAATAATAATCACACGAAATAGGTAGGTATATGAAGATAGGTAAAATAACATCCATCTTAATTATAACAAAATAGAGTGTCGTAAAAAGGACATGAATTTCTAGTTGTGAATGACCTAAAAAGGACACGGATTTTAACGTATATTGCATACACCTACCTAACAATCTTAATAACGTGAATTTAACCATTGTCTTATTTAACTAAAGTCTATCAACCTTTTACACTAATAAATTTAGGTTTTAAAGCTTAATACTTACTACCTTTTAATCCAAAATTATCAAATATTTATTTATCTAGCGGATATCTGTGGGATATTGAATACAACTTACTAATTTTAAATTTCTATAAACCATACCTATGTACCCAGACAACACACCAAATCCCAGAGATATCCACAGAATATCTTTTGTGGATATCCAATATATCCACAGGATATCAGAAATATTCCGTGGATCTAATATGGATATCCAAATGTCCGTCTATATCCAAAATATAGAAGATATCCTAATGGATATTTAGCAAAATATCTAATGGGTATCTTCCAGAAAATACAAGAAATCCCAGAGATATCCACAGAATATATTTTGTGGATATTCAATATATCCAATATGGATATCCAACCAAATGTCCGTCTACATCCCAGGATATAGAAGATATTCGGATATTCAACAAAATATTTTATGGGTATCTTTAGTAGAAGTTCGTAAGTAACCAATGATTATTAAATAACGTCGAAAGAAAATAGCAGAGATAAAAAATATTTTCAACACTCTGCCTTTGATTTTGCCCACTAAGGAGAAAGTCATCATTATTAGGACTCTTCAGCAATAGATGGAAATTCTCGACTCCAGTCTCTAATGGAGTCTGTAGGACAAAAATTTCGATCGAACTCTATTACGGCGGGTCGAGCATGAGTAGATGCGATAGTGGTATCGCCATCTATACTTAGTAAGCAGAATCAAATAACATCTAGTGGATATCCACGATGGTTTGCGTTCGCGCCTAGAATTTGATATATTTAGTGGATGTTCATGGGATATTGAATACACCTTAAAAAAAATTAATTTTAAATATCTGAACGGTACTATTAGCCACAATGGCGTAATTTTTTAATAATTTGCTATATAATTACTATTATTTATGGACATTTGCATGTCTATAAATTACATCTCATGGATATAAAATATATATCTACCATGGACTGGACATTCAGTGGATATTGGGATGTTCAGTAGATATCCAAAGGATTTGGTGTGCTGTCTGGGTACTTTCTTAGTTATCACATGGCGTAATATTTAAGTAAATTAATAATTATTAAATCAATTCACATATTTTCCGATATTTAGGTACATATTATAGCCATAAATTACATCTAGTGGATATCCATCATGGTTTGCATTCGAGCCTAGACTATATTTAGAGGATATCCATGGGATATTGAATACACCTTAAAAAAAATTTAATTTTAAATATCTAAACGGTACTATTAGCCACAATGGCGTATTTTTAAGCTATTGCATAGCTTTTATCGCGGGCTTTGAGTGCGGCTACCGAATCAAGAAATTCCGTAATGACCGTAACGAAAAAAACCTAACACCCCCCACTCCGACCGGCACAGCGGTGGGCGTTAAACAATATTAACTTCTTATTTATTCAATAAAAGAAAATCGAAAAATCGAAAAATCGAAAAATCGAAAAATCGAAAAATCGAAAAATCGAAAAATCGAAAAATCGAAACAGAAATTCCGTAACGAAAATAAACCTAACACCCCCCCACTCCGACCGGCACAGCGGTGCGGCGTTGAAAGACGTGCATCGTCTAACGTCGTTTCAGTTCGGCAGACTTCGGACGGTGGTTGTGTGCGTGCGACTAGACGTATGCGTGTAGACTAGCTGCTAACTGATTCTATCTCTACATGTATTGTACGATAATAAAAATATTTTAAACAATATTAACTTATTTATTTAATAAAAGAAAAAAAAAATTGTTTTCTTATTGGTCACCACGCTCAAAAAGTGTAACTTGAATTAATATCAAAGGAAACTCTTGAATTAATACCAAAGAAAAAAAATACTGCATAAATAAAATAAATAAATAATTATAATTGCATAAGTTGATAAAAAATGCTATGCAATAGCTTTACCGCGGCAGTCCCCGAGTGCCACAAGTATTTTTCGAATAATTTGTTATATAATTACTATTATTATGGACATTTGCATGTCTATAAATTACATCTCATGGATATAAAATAGATATCCACCATGGACTGGACATTCAATGGATATTGGGATGTCCAGTAGATATCCAAAGGATTTGGTGTGCTGTCTGGGCAGTGACACCACATCGCCGACAGGAAGATATAGTGGGTTTTACACCGGGTTAAACGAAAGGTTTAGTGTCCGTTGGTGTAGTTCATTCCTACACCATATGGGATTCATATCTACACCGACGGTTCTAAAACAAAACAAGGCTCAGGATGTGGAATATACTCCAGATTCTTAAACCTAAACAAGCAATAGTGCCAGTGTAGTTCAAAGAGAGCTAATGGGGATTCTTATAGCAGCAAAAGAAATAACCAGAAACAATATCACTGGAAGGAACATGCTCATCTATACAGATAGCAGACAAGCACTACTCACCCTGAACAGACCACGAATTTATTCAGGGTTAGTACTAGAATGTCACGAAGCTTTGGCCGAAGAATCCATCAACAACGTGGTCACCTTAAGATGGATTAAAGGTCACGCCACATCGAAAGGTAACCGTCTTGCTGATTCACTAGCCAAGAAAGCAGCCAACCAAATACTTTTTGGACCTGGCCCTTCTATTGGCCTGACAAAATCGGTAGTGACAGACCTAATCAAAGAACATTCCCTTGTGGAATTCAAGGAAAGATGGGGTGAAACAAGAAACTGCAGAATTGCCGGGGAGCTCTTAAGTTATCCTGCCAACACTGCAGCAAACAAATACTTGAGTATGACTAGACAGAATCTGCGCCTAGTCACAGGCATTCTGACTGGTCATTGCCAAGTACGAAAGCATCTCCATATCATGGGGCTGTCAGAATCCGCACTCTGCAGAGGGTGCGAACAAGAAGATGATACCATCGAGCGTATCCTTTACGATTGCTCGACGCTCTCATTTATTAGAAGATTTGTGTTTGGCGAGTATCGGTTAACACCGGCCGATATAAGAGAAGCACCTCTTGGCGACGTTGTCAACTACATTAAATCTGTAGGCTGGCTCACGAGCTAGGAGGTGCCTATCTTCTCAGGAGGATATGCACAATGGGCCTAATGAGGCTTAAGTGCCGTGGGGTAACCCACCCTCCACACGTTAGAGATACTATTATTTATGGACATTTGCATGTCTATAAATTACAACTCATGGATAAAAAATAGATATCCGCACCATGGACGACTGGACATTCAATGGATATTGGGATGTCCAGTAGATATCCAAAAGATTCGGTGTGCTGTCTGGGCTGTGGACACCATATCGCCGACAGGAAGGTATAGTGGGTTTTACACCGGGCTAAACGAAAGGGTTAGTGTCCGTTGGTGTAGTTCATTCTTACACCATATGGGACGAACGAAATAACCTTAGGTAAATAAGGTGGTGTAACTGGTGTAATTTACACTTCTGGACACTGCACCAACAGCGAACAAAACATTGTAAGACATTTGGTGGTTTCAAAAATTTTTGTGAGTTTTATGTATTTATTAAAACTGACTAAGGATCGATTCCACCGTTGTGTTAAACGAAGTTTAAAATGACATTTTTACATGAACAATGTCATTTTAATCTCCGTTTAACACAACGGTGGAATCGGTCCTAAGAGCAACAAAAATAATTTCTTCCTGAAAATTTAAACATATTTTAAGACATGGCAATGTTGGAATAAAATTCTGTAAACAGAATTTTCAGACAGAAGTATTGGTAGCACTGTTTTCAATTTCCAACGTCAATACTAAATGTCAAATCAAAAATTTTTGCTTTGCTGTCAGATCAGAAGTGATTAGTGAATTGATTGTAAGCTTTGTAGTTTTGTAAGACAAAAATAAAATGTCTGGTTTTGGCGATAATTTCGGCACAACTGATGAAGATCCTGCAGCAGAATTCTTAGCGCGTGAACAAGATGAATTAGCTGGATTGGAAGACGAAGTAAAGCCGGCTGCAATCAGTGCTCCAGTTTTAAATGGAGGTATGTATGTAAAAAAAGGGGGCGTTTGATTGATTCATCATTATTTTATCATTCATTATTTTCATATGCATGCTTTTCTGGTCTTATATTGCACTCATCAACCGAATGCATGACATTCAAAGTACTTTTCAGCTTTAGGTGTAATTTTATTTTATATTGCTTTATCTGTAGATGATCCAACAAATTCGGCAAGCAGTTTCGAAATGGTAGAAAACACTGATCAGGATGGTCTCGGAGAACAAAAATATGGTATGTCGATTGGTGAATACATGGTTATTGCCTCTAACATATTTATAATACACAATAAAAAACACATGTAAAGTAAAAAGTTGTTGGGTGTTAACATTTTTTATTTTATTTTTGTTAGCATATACTATTTCATCATCAATTGCACTTAGTTTAAGATTATTTTTGATTTTGCTCCTTTGCAGCTACATACTGATAGGTATGCCTCCCACTTTTATATATCATCCATTGAGAATAATACTATCCTAAGTCCTTTTATTAGTTTTCAGTATTACGCATTTGACAGTTGTATTGCTCTATAGTGAAGACAATTCTAGGCAATTTGTGTTCCCCATACGGCTTTTCTAACGGACTTTGGATAGTATTGCACAAGCTAGAATTAAATAGGACTTACATTAATAACTTATATAAAAAAAAATGGACAGGATAGTTTTCTTCTCAACTGACAATATGTACATGTTAAAAAACTACAACAGCCACCAGTATTTACTGATTAAGGATCCAGGAATTAGATCAATGAATATATCCAGATACTCCAGATATTGTATACTTACAAAACTATTCCATTTATTTACTGATTATGTTAAACAATTAAGAACCAAACTAAAGAAGTAGGATTATGGACCTCAGTACCAAACATGAGACTTTCAACAACCTACTAAGTTAAAGTTCTAGAATCACATAATTTACTCAGGGGTATGGATGCCACCTGTATGGATTTCATCCAGACTGTCCAGGTTTTGAACAATTTGTCCGGAGTCCGGTCGCATGGTAAAACTGTCCAGGAATATGTGGATAATTTTTTTAGATGCTCAACAGAAAGACAACCTGACTGGTTTATGAAATTTATAAACTGATAACCTTTTTTTTGTAGTAATTTCACGAACAAGTCCGGGTTTTGAGAAATGAAAAGATGGCTTAGGAAGGAATGAACAATAATTTCAATCAAGATATATACATCACCTCATAGAGCTAAATAAGCTTTACTTAAGATTGTAATGGCAATCTTTTGAGTTTTTATCTAGTAAAAGCCATTTTATTGGCTAAGTAAAAGCCAAATAATGGAAAGGTGTAAAAATGAGAGGGTATATATATTATTAGGTCCTACTGGGAAATTGTTCTGTGCCAAAGTTATGCAAAGAAATCATGTTACTGGCTATTGTAAATTACTCTTAGACCTTTAAAATCTCAACTGAAGTCCAAATGAACCTACATGGGCTCTAATCTACAACAGGATGTATATTAACTTTCTACACCTAGGTTTTATTATGAAAATTCTTCATTATCTTAGTGCATTTTTTTCTTTATTTTACTGTGGCTCAAATTGTACTTATAGACTTCACTTGGGTATGTGGTGAACAAGTTGGTAGCTGTCATTAGTTTATTTACTTCTATAAAATTAAAACTACAGAAAACAGCAAAAGTAGCTTTTCTGGAAAACTTTTGATATGCCCCCTTTCAAGGGATAAAAGTTTGAATGGTACATATTTTTATTTTTATGTATCAATATAGTTTATAATTATTTTACTATTCAAATTAATTAGGGAGGCTACTTTTAATTGAAATAAGTCTTATTTAAAATTCCTAAATGAGAACTCCTGAAGAACTAGAAATATGCATTCAGTTCATCACTAAAACTGAATGAAATTCTATTTATTTATAAAATTACACAGCACATTTTTTTAAATTATTATTATTCATACAGCATGTTCTGTTCTTCTCTTTTAACAGATTTCCAGGCCGATATGAATAGCCAAGACTACAGAGAAGGTAAGAAAAATATTTATTAGAAATATTATTTGTGTCCTTTTGAGTATTTAAAATTAAAATTGTCAGTAATCAAAGTAGTATAGGCCATTTTACTGATTATGGTGTGTACATCATCACTAACATACAAAATAGGTAAACATAAAGCATAACCAACGGAGGTATCTAATGTAGTTTTCACAAACATAACATACATATCGAATTGGGCATATTTAAAAATAGGTATTTTCATAAAAAGATAATTTTTTAAATTCGCTTCTTAGTATTTTGTATATTTTTTTAATTAATTTTCTGCGAATATGGTGAGTTTTATTAGAAAATGTTTCATACAAAAGTTTAATTGAGTCACTACGCTACAATGATAAATGCAAAAAGTAGAAGTTCCAAACTTCCCAAAACCCTGCAAGTACACCCTAAAATCTACGAAATGGACTATGTCGTTATTGAATAACTATTTTCTTATTTACTATTGGTTGAATACTCCCTTAATATAATTTTTAGATATTTTTTTTTATAATTATTTTTAGTATCACCAATTCCAAGGCAAGACGACAGACCAGAACCAGAGAAAATTAGAATATGGAGAGAAGAACAAGTTAAGAGACTAGAAGAAAAAGGTAAGATATTTGAGAAAACATACGAATCAAATACAACTAGAGTAGTGAGAACTGTCTCAATATCTTTGTCACCATTCATTTATATTTTTTTATATAGACAAGGAAGAAGAGAAAAAGAAACTTGAATTAAGAGAAGTTGCAAAGAAAGAATTGGAAGATTGGTACAAGAGTCACGAAGACACCATTTCCAAGACAAAAGCTGCTAATAGGTAAGGAATGTTTAGAAATTAATTTTAGATCTTCGTGCATGTAATTAACATGATTCTTTGCATTTCATTGCTTACTCAAGAGATGCTGCCAGGTATTTATAAAAGTGAAATGTTTTTCTCTATATTGGTTTTAAACTTTTTATATAAAATCATCCTTGTAGTTCAGTTATATAAATTTCATTTTGTACTAAGCTTTTAGTTTATGTTTTCTATAAAAAAATTAATAATTACAGATTTTGCTAGTTATTAGAGCTATTTTTGGTTAAAATATGACAATACACAATCCTTTAACAATAATTGGTAAATAAACTAACTGAATTATTTGGATGACTCTCAAAAAAATGCAATATATCTATATTTATCTGCAGACTTACACATGAATTACACATATTCCTTATACTAAAAAAACATCGACATATTGATATTAAAAAATATAAATCAGGATGTGGCTTTTTGTGATGTCTCTAGCTTTACCATGTAGACATAGAAAGCTTAGCTTGTTATTTCATTCTGCTTGCGAATTATTTTTATTTAATAACAATATTAATATAAAATATCTTAAAATATAACATATTTTTTACCTATACTCACACCAAATCGGAGGACTGCTAAAGTTTGTAGAAAATGTAAAACAAAACACAAATTACCTTTCATAAATCGCTTTATTACTACTCAAAATATTCTTAACTTTTTCAACCAGTAAAAACAATCATCAAAACGCCTCTCTGGGCAGAATATGTCTGAAATAAGTTATTTAAATGCTGTAAGGCTTCTTCAGACGATAGAAAACGCTCGTCCGTATTTTATTTTTGATGTGTCTGAATAAGAAGAAGACATTGGACGATAAAGTGGCGAATATAGACAATGAATCATTAATTGTTACTGGTCAAAAACGCGACAGTTTGTCGTACTTTGTGAGCGCTTGCATTGTCTTGATGAAGAATGATTCACCAGTTTACGTTGTTTCTTCTGAATTCGGCCATACTTTCCGGCAAACATATTGGTATATATTAGTCAGCATTGACTGTCCTATCCTATAATGCAGTGGTCCCTAGCTTTTTTTTGACCAAAGACCACTTTGATTGTTTTGTTGTTAGCAGGGACCACAAGGATCAAGAATAATAAACTGAGTTAATCTGAAAATTAACTTTGAACATATTCTTTAAACTTAATAGTAACATGAATTAAGAGTACTATTATAATATAAAAACATTGTCTGACTATATTTCCTATTTTGTCTAACGTCTTGGTATCATTTGAATTGGAACATACTCTTTTTTTATAACAAAAAAGATAATTTTTAATAGAACATAATATCTATATTTGGTTTCTTAACATAATTGGTAATCCTGGGGCTAATATTGCTTAAAGTCACATGCATATCACTTTCAATCGATTCATGGACTTGTTTTTAGTTACCAACAAATAGTCTGTAAGGTCGACCTTCACCTATCTGTTTAATGGATGAAAGTTTCTTTTTATTAAAAAAAATATGTTTATAAATATACCGCAAAAGGGTTGCCTAAGAAAATATGGTCCAGACTATTTATTTTCTTAAAATAAACAAAACGACACCCTGTAAAGTATTCCCCAGATACTTCGACTATGCCCAAACTTTAATCAGCTCACCGCAGGATAGATTAAAGCTTAATTTTAAAATTTTGTGTTTTTCTCTTTATCCGTTTTTGAGTTGTCGTCAAAATTCGAAATTTGCACATTTCCTCAAATATCTCGAATTACTTTCATTTTAGGGAAATCATGTATAGGATCAAAATAATAGAGAATGACATCATAAGCAACTTTTATCATGATTCCTATACTTTCCTTATCTGTACACAGAAAGGAAAGCAAAAAATGACCGTGACCGTATTTTCTTAGGCAACCCATTTGCGGCGTATTTAAAAACATATTTTATCTAATAAAAAAAAACTTTTATCCATTAAACAGATGGGTGAAGGTCGACCTTATTTACGGATCCTGGACTAAAAGCAGAACACCCTTGTTCACATAAATAAGTTGTGAAGAATATAAGATAGCGCAAGGCGATTCAATTTTAGTATAAAAAATTGCTTTTTTACACCAAAACCTTATCTATTCAGATACAAATGTGTTTAAAATTTTCCAATGTAATACCTATACTTAAGAATGGGGAGTTTATTTAATCAGTGCTCTAATTACCGACTTACATATTTGCTTCCAATCCTAGCCAAAATTGTAGAAATATTGGTGAAAACACATTAATCATTTTAAATCGGCATCTACTTACTCCAAATAAATTTGGTTTTTGGTCATCTAACAATTCTCCAGTACAGTATTAATTTTTGTAAAAATTTCTATGTTAATTTTGAAACACCCATACAGTTGATCGATGTTTAGTTTCAAGCTCATATAAATGTATCCAAGATTCGTCACTTGTTAAGATATTATATAAAAAATTTGAAGATTCAAATTTTTTGAGCATTTCCTTGCATCATTTAACACGTGTCTATTATTGTCCTCTTAAATTTTGAGTGTTCCACGGCTTCAAAATCTTCCTGACATGCAAGTTATCGTGCAAAATCGAATTCATTTGTTTCGCCGCAATCCCACAGATTACCAATCTGTGGCAATCCTACGGACGCCTCTTATCTCACTATACGGTATGTTTCAGCTTTTAGTGTACAAGCTCTATTTATCCTGTATATTTAGCAGAAACAGTCTGTCTGTGTGTGATGTGAATTGCAAATAGGCACACAACGACATATCCCCAAGCGGCTGGGTCGTTGGAAACATTGATATTATTCGTTTCCTCTCGATCTAATGCGAATTATCTGTAGTTTTCGCTTCGACACTAGCAAACCGTATTGGAAGGTTTTCAATAGCTGATACTGTATAAGCTTATGAGCTATCGGCTATGAATAATTCGCCTTACACACTCTATAGGATGTCGGTTGCATATATGATGTCGCTGTTATTTGTTAAAAAAAAAAAAAAATTGCATTATGCAATTCGCAACTCGAAATATCCCAGTTTTGAGTTAAGGCACGAAATATATGTAAAAAGTATACAATATTCAAATGAAATACCACCACATAATGTATTCTATCTAAAATTTGAGCCATAATTATGGCAGTTCTAGTTGAGTTAGTATTGCATTGATAGTCCGTTCTAAACCTAAGTTTTGAAATAATTAATAACAAACATTTTAAAGACCATATTTATTGTTGAAAATGTATTTTATTTTTATTCAGAAATGCTGAAAAACAATTTGTAGCTGAGGACAATGACCTGGAACCCGGAACAGAATGGGAAAGAATCGCAAAATTGTGTGATTTCAACCCTAAAGCTAAGCAAGGCAGCAAAGACATTTCTCGAATGCGTTCCATCATCTTGCAGATGAAACAGAATCCAATTCCGATTAAGAACAAGGCTTAAATTCAACTATGTATTGAATTCAATTGAATGAGAAGATAAATAATTGCAAAATCGAGATTTTTGTATTGTAATATTTAGATTATTAGTTTTAATTTATTATGTTAAGAGATTTTATGTATATCTTGGTCGTAAAGTTATCAACCCTTAATTTAATATTTAGAATGAATATGTTTTGAGATTTGATTTAAACAAGTTTAAGATAAGAATGTAGTTAGCTAATATGAGGTTTCTTCATTTTTTGTAATATGGTTTCTAAAAGTTGCTTCTTTGTTTTAGAGGATTTATTTGGAGAAACATGCAATATAATCACAAACAAAATCAAAGGATCTCAAAAATTTTAAACATGACCCTTTTTACAGCTAATTCTTATTTTAAACAGATACTATTCTAGAATGAATTGTTCTGGCAAAAATATATTTAAATCCTTTTCCAGTAAAAATAAAATTTTATTATACAATGGTTTTGAATTTAGCTTTCGAAATCTGTAACTCAGTCTTATGAAATTTGATGAGACATCAAAAAATATATTTTTACTGGATTTCTTTGTAAAGACTTAAGGTAGTAATTTTACAATCTTTTGTTTGAACGTGCCCCAAAATATATTCAAATAATATTAAAAGCCGTTTTAATGCCCTTTGAATCCGGTTTTTTTTTTTTTTTTTTTTTTTTTTTTTTTTTTTTTTTTTTTTTTTTTTTTTTTTTTTTTCGAAAAGTTTTGTCATTGTGTTTTTTCTGCTTTTTTTATATTCATAACAGGTATAATTAATTATAATAATAAAAAGTGCTCCGCAAATGCTGGACATAATATTCAGTAGGTTTGACTATTTTGGCAAAATCATATCGGACCTTATCACGCCTGCAGAAAATACATCTTAAACTGTATAATGTGCATGATATATTGAATAATATAGTGTGTCCAGTGTCTGCTCGTATGCTGCGAAGGTTGGAGGGGGGGGGGAAATTGGCTTGATGATGGGGATTATGGAAAATTTGTTTTTTTATTTATTTTTTCATTAATAACAGAAAATATACCACACTACATACTGCGTCTTGTCAATAGTCAATAAACAAAATGAAATATATATATTATAGTAAAACGTCTTACAAAAATAAATATTCTAAAAAAAAATCAAACATTTATCTTGTTTTTACGAAAGTTCATGACATGACTTCCTGAAATTGAAATCTGCTCTACGATCGTTCATTAAAATACATTTTTCCATGACTTGTAACATAGCGCACCCAGGTACCTTCATAATTTATTAATTCCATTTTATTAAAGAAAATATTGCATTCTGATTAAATTCAAAATCCTTCATTTAACGAAAAATCTCGCAGATATTTATGACACCTAATAAATAATATCTATAACCCTGCCCGTTAGAGATCCAATTTCTTGCACGCGTCTGGGAACCCAACCCGAAACCACTATACAACAAATTTTGTCATGAAGTAATAATCATTGAAACACTTAACGCACTTATCTTAAGTCAGTTTTAAATAGGAACATTGTTTTCGACACTCAAATTTTCAAGGCAAGTAATAAATCCACCACCCCTTTTCCATCCAACCATTCGTTCTCACCAGAGTTACGACAGGTTGACGCCACGAAAAGTAATTAAATCGGGTATAAAGACCCGATACTGAGGGACTCGAGTTTCATTCATTAAGAAATCAAACAGTTCAAATGATTTCAAACTCCAGTCATTCATTACTCTTTAAATCTAGTATATTTTCAAGTTCAGTATCCAGTACCTTTCCTAAATCGACGCAGTTTCTACTCTACCTCCTATCGACACTCCTACGTCCCGACGACATATCTCCCCAACGTCCCCACGTCATATTTCCTATCCGACGCTCTGTCCCGATGCGCTATATCCCATTCGACGCTCTTCTTACCTACCTTTCTACGTTACGACGCTCTGGGTCTCGACGTTATCTCTACGCCCTGTCGCTCAACGTCCCGGTGCTCTACGTCTCGATGCCCCTTCAATATTTACAAATGAGCAATCCTTCCACGTATCAACAACAATATAAAAACGTCAGAAATAGATGGCGAGTCAATAATTTAAAAGAGATTTATTATTATAGAAATGTATTGTTCATTACCGTCACATTTGGGCCGCTGGATGGACACGATCTAGTATGCATTTTCCGTTTTATTATACCAGCTTAAAACTATTTGAGAATTTGGTCTCCGAGGTGCCGATACACCCTCGCTAATAGATTAACCGCTCAGCTGATTGGGGAAAATGTCACTTCGGACGGCTAGACTCACATCTTACACAAATATGCTTGATGTCACTAAAGGGTTGGACTATCTTAAATAATTCTCTCAATCTTTGCACCGTAGGTAGATCTGAACATAAGGGGTAGTTCGCTGGTATTGATCCGGCTCTATTCTAGTAGGACTACACTACTAACCCCCATAGGTGAGACTGAAACATAAGGGATATCCGTCTGTTATTCCAACCACTGTATCTCAGTAAGTGCACCTATATAAAAAAGAAACTTCGAAACAAAGAACTAAAAGTATATATTTAATGGCAAGTTGCCTGTTTATTTGGGCGGGACACATGTGAGGTCTCTGTGAGAAATATAATTTTTCATTCCCCAATTTAAGTAGCTATTTTATTTAAAGATAAAATAAGTAAGTTAAATATAATTTGAGTTTTATTTCATTCACAAATTTGTACCAAACTGCATCGAATCCTGGTTTATTAAGAAGCGGTTACAGAATTTTTTTCGGAAATATTTATAGCCAGAACTAAATTGATATCATAGCTAAGGGGTGTAGTCTATCATTTAGCATGGTGCTTCGTAAAAATTCTAAATATTGGCCGGCCGCAAAAAATTGCGCTCTAATCTACACTAAAACATCCGATTGTCAGACGTACTCATTAGCGCGTGTCTCGCTCCGTTTCCATAGTAACGCGGGCCTGTATGTTATTGCGGCCGACGATAGTCCAGTCAAAGAGGTCATATTGGGGATTTAGCGGGGACATAATGAATAACACTCAGCATGTGTCGAGACGATAAGAAAAATAAAATTAATAATTTATTTTTAATTAGGATTTTAGTCTCTGGCATTTTTGAGGAGGCGCGCGTGGCCATGCGGCCTTTAGAGAGTATCCGCCCTTGAGTGTGTCTCAAAAAGCTTGGACTACATGAAATACTTTATTATTGATTTTTAAGAAAAGATTATTGATAAAAGTTTGTGTTTTACTTACAGCATGATAGTAACTTAAAACATTTCAATAAATTACCATATATGAGGCTAGTAAAAAAATGTGAATTTGGTTCAAGAGAAATTACCCTTATTTTGAAAAACTTGTCTAGAAACAAGATTTGAGTCCAAATTTGAAATCACAGCTTCCTATATCAAAACAATATTTTTTTCTCCTAGCAAAATTAGAACTGTTAGATCTGAAATTAGTTTCTACAGATTATTCTAAGCCTATGTAATGATTTTTTAGTTAAATTAATACATTTAACCTAGTTTAATTTGTACATTTTTTAAATAGACTTTTAAAAGCTACACAATTATGTGTTTTCTTGGTGCCAAGGTAGTATTTCACTCTGAATATGCATAGGTCCAAATATTAATACAGACACTTGCTTAGGCTTAGAATAATCTGTGGATACTACTTTCATACGTAACAGTTCACTTCAAACTTTGCTACAAGTAAAAAAATCTGTGTCCAACACATGGCTTTCCCGTCTAGTTATGACAGGCTTTTCCCGGTTATTTTCTACAACCTATTGGTATCACCCCTGTAACTGTTTAGAGGATACATACATTTTCCACACATTTTACTCAAAACATTTTTTTATATATATGGCCAACGAAAATACTGAAAAATAAAATTTTACACCTCTCAAATTTTCCCGTTACGGTCCATTTTAGAGAAATTATATATAAAATAAAAATTGTAGAGAATGATATCGCAAACAACTTTTATTTGAACAATTTTCTTAAAAATTCGAATTTTGTACTTTTTGTCAAATTTTTCGAATACGGACCTTTTTAGGAAAATTATGTATATGATAAAAAGTTAATAAGACAAGCAAATTTTATTTGAAAAATTTTCTTCCTAAAGCATAAATAACATATTCCATAAAGAAAACGACCTATCAAGTATCCCCCCGGTGCTCTGACTATGCCCAAAATTTAATCAGTTCACGGCAGGATGGATTAAAGCTTAAATTTAAAATTTGGTGTTTTTCTCTTTATCCGTTTTAGAAATTCAAAATCTCGAATACGGTCCATTTTAGAGAAATTATGTATAGGACAATAATTATAGAGAATGACGTAACAAACAATTTTTATTTAAACAATTTTCTTAAAAATGTAATTTTTTTTCTTTTTGTCAAATTTTTCAAATACAAGCCATTTTAGGAAATTTTTGAATAGAACAAAAATTATAAAGAATAATATTACAAGCAACTTTTAATTGAATAATTTTTTTCTCCAAGCGTAAATAACAGAAAGAAAAACGATCATATATTGAGTACCCTCTAGATGTTCTGACGACTATGCCCAAAATCCAATCCGTTCACCTCAGGATAGATTAAAGCTTAAGTTTAGAATTTGGTGTTTTTCTCTGTATCCGTTCATGAGTTATCGAGTATACACACACGCACACAGACATCATCGCGAAAATAGTCGAAACGGATTCAGGAGACCTCAAAACGTAAAAATCCGTCGAAATCTCGAGGTCGAAAAAAAATTATGATTCTTTTCTTATCTGTATACAGACAGGAAAGTAAAAATATTGTTTTGAGATAAGAGGCGGTGATTTCATATTTGGGCGTAAATATTGTATCTAAACAATTTCCCAATTTAAGTAGCTATTTTATTTAAATGTAAAATAAGTTAAATATAATTTGAGTTTTATTTCATTCACAAATTTGTACCAAACTTTGCATCGAATCCTGGTTTATTAAGAAGCGGTTACAGACTTTTTTTCGGAATTATTTATCGCCAGAACTAAATTTCTATTTATTGATATCATAGCTAGGGGTGTAGTCTATCATTTAGCATGATGCTTCGTAAAAATTCCGTAGAAACTATAAAACAACTTTAAAAAGCAAAAGCCTGACCCCTCAACATCTAAATGGATTAAAGCTTAAGTTTAGAATTTGGTGTTTTTCTCTGTATCCGTTCTCGAGTATACACACGCACACAGATATCATCGCGAAAATAGTCAAAACGGATTCAGGGGACCTCAAAACGAAAAATTCCGTCGAAATCTCGAGGTCGAAAAAATTATGATTCCTATACTTTCCTTATCTGTACACAGACAGGAAAGTAAAAATATTGTTTCCAAACAATTTCTTGACTTCCCTCATAAATGGTAAGAAACGTTTTAAGTGTAGCACTAATTTTTATAAGAATTTTTTCTCAAAAATCGATAATAAAAAGTTCCATATAGGGCAAACTTTCTGAGATACAGTTAATAGTATTAGCATAACTTTTAGTTTGAGAAATTTATAAACAAAATTATCATTATTTATTTAAAGCTACTGCTCATGTACCTTTTCGGGATAATCAACTTTTTGCTGGTAAAAACAATGTAAGTACAGTAGAAAAACATGTATTTATAAAAATAAACATCTGAAATACATAAATAAGTCTTCATACAAAAACAACAATGTGCATGTTTACCAATTGACAGTCCATGTGAGCTGTTTTAAATTCTTCAATTCACTTGAAAACATTGGGCAAGATACATCATCTACAAATATATGCCACATTACAAAATCAATCTTATATATCATAAAAAAAATTAAAAAAATTTAGAACCACTTTTTATAGTTTGTAATGCTCCTTCCTTCGTAGCTCTTAGAATAATACGTACAGAAATAAAATAATTTATTAATACTTATGAAAATGAAAAACTACATGAAAAATGATGACTACCCCAAAAACAGCAATATTTTGTTTATGAATTAAAATATTTCATGTTTACCTCGTTTTCTCCTACTGTAAAATGACAAAATTTCCAGATTGGGACAATTTTCAGCAATTTCTTTTAAACCGACATCAGTTACTTTAGTGTTTTCTATTCTCATTTCTTTAAGTTTTAATTTGCAAGGACCTTGTACTAAATGGGTAATACCCTCATCTGAAATCTAGAACAAAATATATTTAAATTAAAACATTTTTTGTAGATTTGTTTACAATTAAAATGATATTAACAGTTTTGCTCTTGACCTTACTGTAAATAAAGCCAGACCTTGCATATATACTTACTTGCTAACCTTGCTTATATTAAGGTGTTCATTATTTTTATTGAGTTTAAAAACATTCTTTTAAATGAAGGTAGGTCTAGTTTGAGCCTTTCTGGCAAAAAGTTATGCAATTATTTAATTATAAAAGAAGAATGAGTAAAATCAATGTAATTAAAAACACAGTAAAGGTACCTGTAAAATAAGATAAATTCACATTTAAAATTAATTAAAAGGGGTAAATTATCCACTTTCCTATGAAAAATTATTAGGAAGTTTTTAGTGAAAATTACACCTGTTATTGGTAGTGTGAACATCTGTACCAAATAAAGCATATAATAGCTCTCGATGGTACATAAAATGTAATCAATATAGGCCCAGTAACATATGCCAATTCTTGAGATTGACCCTTAAATAAAAATTCAGACCTGAAAACTCCTAGTTTTTCAAGAGATATTTGAAGAATTACGGAATTTACTGTAATAACCAAATGCATACCTAAATTTAAAAACACTTTATGTTACTCTAGTACATACATGGTGGGGCAGAATAACAAGCGATTTTAAAAAAGAAGAAAATCAAGTTATACAAATAAATTAATTTTGTTAAGAACATAAAAAAGCATTAATGATTTTAATTTTTAAAAATTACTCTGGGAATATTGTGTCCGTTCAGGCATACACATTCTTACAATCGTGAACTGAAATTATACATTACATTCTGCAGCATTGCTAGGGGAATTTGGTCCAATTCCTGTCAGATCCATTCTTTCAAGGATTTATTTGTTTGTGGTGGGTTATTTTGAAACAATTTACTCTTCAAGTAACCTCACAAGTAAAAATTGCTTGTGAGGTTCGGTGAATGGGGAGGCCAGGTGAAGTTCCTATTTCGAGAAATCCATGATTTGTAAATAACCCATTTTGATAAAAGAGCTTACATGCGCTACTGAGAGGTCCACCACTCCGTTGTTACTAAATGCTAATACTTACGAAACATGGTCGATAGCGTCCCTACTACCTACTATAATAAATAGGTGCAGTTACCAGGTTTTTTTTGAAATTACTCTTTATTCTGTCCCACACTGTATATAAATTAGGTGTTAACTAGTGGAAACTCCAACTAGACATTTACTCTAAGAATAAATATGGTTAAGTATTAAAATATATACATAAATTTGATTTACCTGTGTTGAAGATAAAGTTATCCAAGAAAGGTGTTTTAACTTTGAAATTTTTGTAACACCCAAATCAGTGACGTAGGTACTTCCACCAATATCCAACCCCATCAAATTTGGACAATTATCTGCCATACATTCAAGGACATCATCATCAACTATATTACTGTGTGCCAAAAAAAGGTGAGTTAAACTGTGACAATTTTTCAGTAGGTTTATCAATCCTAAAATGATATGAGTTAACATTATACCTATTTTAGTAATGTTTTATACCTTTTGTACTAATCTTAATATCTTTAGTTCGAGACAAATAAAGTTTTCTAATATTTATACATTTTTGTAATACTTTTAATATGTCATCATCCACGTCTGCTGAAGTCAAATTAATATAATGAGTTTGTTCATTTACAAGAGTAACTAATACTGTCTTGAAATCAACTTTTTTCCAAAAATGTGCTGAAATAGTAAATTTTCGAAGCATTCTATTTTTAACATGAAAAGGCAATGCACTTATTTTTTCTTCGTTTTCATTTATAAAGAAGTTCATGTTTTCTACTACATAATCCAGTACTCTTAAAATAATAGGTTTTTTTTTATTGGAAAAAATGTTTGATTAATACTTACAGGCAGAATAATGATTCAACTGGTTTGTGCCAAGTTTGGGTAGATGCGTCCATGTCAATGAAAGTCGTATTATTATTTATGTGTATCTTTTGATCATCCATTAGTTCGAATAATTGTTCAGTTTTTATTTATGTTTACAAACAACGTAGTTTAAAAATTTAAAGCCTTTCTGACAGACGTCACCTTCAAATATAACAATCTTCTTTTTATGTTTAGTTGTATAAACCTATAAGTGTAATCAGATGCATTATCTTTTTAAATTTGAAAACAAAATGACTAGCCAATTGTGATTTTAGACAAAGACCGAAAGAAGAAGATAAATGGAAATGATCCGTCCATGGATGGATGGTTGTCATTTTAGTGTTTACAAATACAAATGTTAAATTAATTTTATCGTTTTACAATGAGTTCTTTAATTAAAAATATTTATGTTTTAAAAAACTCAAATAAAATTGCGGTAATTATGTGTGATAACGAAAACATTTTGCAAACAAAAACCTTCCAAGAAATTATACACACTTCTGAAATATTTGAAAAAACATTTCGAATTTCATTAGGGAATAATGTTAATTTATGCATAGGTTTATGTATTGAGAAAAATATACATTTACCTTCCGTTATAATTTGGTAAGAATTTTATTAGCGATGTTTATAAATAGAACCTCTGGAGACAGAATCCCAGCCAAAATATCAAATCATTATTGTGCCTACTTATGCTAAAAACAAAAATCACCAGCCAATACACTATCTTGTGCTTATAAACAATATGTTGGTGTATAATGGGGACTTTTTAGAGTGTCTCTGGAGGCATAATATGATCAATCATAAATTGCCAGTGACTTTGGTAAAAAATTAGTTTCTTTAATACGAGGAAGTACCTACTTCTTTTCATCTAACATATTATATCTGTAAAAGGCTTAAAAAACCTAATCTGATATAGGTACCTAGGTTGGTACCTGTTGGGAAGTTGCAACATGAACAATTCTTGATTTGATTTGATAACATTCAGCTATCTTGATAAACCTCTATTCTTATCTAGCGACTTGCAGTTGGTGAACCTTATTTTATCCATTCTTCAGGGTTCTCTTTTTTTCCAAACTTTCCTCAAACTAACTGCATGATTTGATATTTCGTTCAAACCCAGAGCTGCCAGACTGGAAACACATCTTTTTCCTGGCCTCTTTTATTCAAAAACATAAACTCCTTAATTTATCTGAAGGCATAATGAATACATAGTACTTAGGTCTTATCTTTGTGGACATCAATCCAAAACTAATAACTTTTAAGTTTGCAGAAACTTGAACATGCCTTTGTTTACCTCTATAAAAAGGACTTAGATAATGCAGAAAATTGTAATGTGGATTATATATTGTCTCTTAATATTGATATTATCTCTAATTTTGAAAAACACTCTGAAATAACTGTTGATAAAGATAGTACATTTAAATTATGGAAAAATTCATCAACCTCTAAGTGCTCTTACTTATTTAAAGATATATTTTGCATTGTAAAAACATCAGGCACTACAGGAGAAAATAAAACTATTCGGATACCTTATACTTGTATAGAAAATAATGCTGTAAGTTTGGGGTAAGTAAGCTCATAAACTGTAGGTAAAACACTTTAATATACAGTTAAATTTTTTAAGGAAAGTGTTTAAAATTGACTCCACTGATGTCATATTTTGGGGCACACCACTATCATTTGATCCATCTTTAATAGAACTTTTATTGGCACTGCTACATGGAGCTACACTTCTTATAGTACCTTACAGAACTTACATCAATCCGACGGCTCTTTTTTTGTCTTTGTTTAAAGTGGTTCCAATAACTATTCTTCAGATGGTACCTTCAGTTTTCCTGAGATGGGATGAAAATTCAATAGAAAAAATACTTTGTGAGAGTAATCTGAAAATATTGGCTTTTGGGGGAGAAGTTTTTCCTAAGAATGTATTAAAGTTTAAAAGAAAACAAAATTTATTCTTATTTAATCTCTATGGTATTACTGAACTGTCTTGTTGGGCAACAGTTCATCAAATAAGTGAGGAGACCCCAGAAGATGAGATACCCATTGGTCAATGTTTAAACGAAACTATTGTAGAAGTACTAGATAAAAATAAAGAGGCGATAAAGAATGGAGAGGGAGTTATTTACATAGGTAATTTAAATAATAGATTATATATTTTTTTTTTAATAAAAAATAGCGTCTTGTAAATATGTAATTTTAGGCAGTAATTCAAGGAAATGTTTCATTGACAATGAAACTGAAATATGTTTACCAATATTTAGAGAAACTGGTGATATAGGCTATATTGAAAATAGCAATATATATTATAAGGGAAGAAAAAACAAGAATATAAAAAGATATGGCCACAAAATCAATCTTACCAAAATTGAAGAAACAATTTTCAACAAATGCAACGTTTCGAGCAAATGTGTGTGGTCAACAAAAAGGAAAAAACTACTATTTTTTATACTGATAAAACATTGTAGCATAGGTATGAAAGTAAAAATAATAGATAAAATTCGAGCAAAGCTTTTGCATATTTTACCCCAAGAATATTATCCAGATTATTTTGAAATATTGCAATCCTTTCCGACAACTTTGCATGGTAAAATTGACGAAAAAAAGTTGGAGGAATTTTATATTATGAGTTTATCGACTACTAATTTAGATGTTACAGAATTATTTTGTAATCTTTGGTATAAATATCTTGGGATTAGTAGTGATAATATTGAGTGTGTCGACAACTACAGCTTTTTTGAATTGGGTGGCAAATCGATAAACATTTTGCAGTTAATTTCTGAATTTAAAGAATTGACCAACATTGAATCAGCGGAATTGTTAGCAGCTATTTTTGAAAAGAAATTATCTGAGTGTAAAACTTTGTTAGTTAACTGCAATTTCAAAAAAGCTATTCAAAAGAAGGATAATATAATTGATATCGAATCCGTTGCTAAAAGGCAAAAAATTGATGATGTTAGGATGAGAATAATATGGAAATATGATTTGAAAGCTTGTGTTGATGGGCAACCATTAGTTTTTACTGAAAAGTAAGCCTTCTAGATAGTATAATGCTTTTATTGCTCTTATCTATACAATATGTTGATTTATTTTAGATCCAATACTATCAGAATAGCTGCAGGAAGTTTTTGTAACATATTTACAATTCTTAATGAAAATGGGGAAGAAATATTCCAAGATGTACTCACCGGTTCCATAGAAACTATTCCGACCATATCATCTTGCAAGCATTTTATTTATATAGGATGTTATGATGGCACAATGCATTGCATAGATTATCATAAAAAATTAACAGTTTGGAAATTTAAAACTGGTGATCGAATAAAATCTTCTGCATTTTTCTTGAGAGATAGAATAGTTTTTGGTTCATATGATAAACATCTTTATTGTTTATTTGCACAGGTGATATTTAAAGAATCAAATGTACTATGTGTCCCAAATTTCCGTACTCAGAGCATTATATGAAATTTAATCAGAATAAAACACCATGATGTGTACCTATCTTGTTAATTAATGGCCAAATAGTAAATATTTTGATAAAAGGACAAATCTAAAACATAATATAAATATTAGAGTGGCCCTTAGATATAGGAAGATCATTTTCAAAAAGTCCGCATCCCCCAATCAGATTCCAATAAAAAAACGGCTTGTTCAAAATCTTAGAACTTTAAAAAATATTAGGTTTTTTTAATAATGAATTCAGTTTCAATAGGAAAAAACCAATTTTATTTTCAGCCATAATTTCTACTGAATCAAAACATAATGCAGAGGAATGAATATTGAACAATATTTTTTCCTAATATAATATTTAGTATCAGAAGATTTTGTTGAGAAAAACGATGCTGATGGAATATTTCGCGAAGAGAGTTTTTGTATCAGCGGTTATAAAAGACGAAAATTCGATGTTTGTAAAGAAAAATCATTTTGGTGTAGAATGTATCTCTTCAGTTAATTTTTTATTTTTCACCTCAAGTCAAGTCAAAATATCTTTATTGTTAATAAGATAGATAACATATCTAAGACAGTTAAAACAAAAAGTTAAAAATTTAAATTCAAAGAAAGAGAAACAACATTTTCATAGATGCAATTTTTTGGGTTTTTAAAATTTTAATGTCGAGATATAAAATATAAAGAACAAAAATGCAAATGCACAATACCAAGTACTATGACAATCGGAAAAATACACATAAATTTAAATGAACTACTCAATTCAACTGATCACAGAAAAATTCATCCTATTTGTAGTAGGCCTTTTCGAACAAGAGTTTCATTACTTGCTTTTTAAATATTTTTAACGAGTCAGCACTTCTTATACTAATTGGCTTCCCGCTATACACAAAAAAGCCTCATGGTACTGAGACGGCCCACCCCCGGTACCCCTTTTTATCGTTATTATCCCTCCAAAATATTATTATTTACCTTACAAGTTTTACTTTAAAATCTATACTTACTGTATTTGGCCTTTTTCCTCTATTAGTAGAAGTGGTCGTCTAGTTAATTATTTGATAATTTATATACCTACCCACGTTGTGATAATGTTAATTAAGGTAAAGCAGGATTCGACGCAAAGTATGGTGCGAATTGATAAATAAAACCATAAAAATTTATATTTAAACTCTTTTATTTTTCATACTTTAAATGTGATGCAATAAATACCAAAGTATATTACAATTGATACTATTTATTGAGATTTCACTTGAGTCCCGTTCAAACGCAGACCAGGTTCATTTGCTATCAAGATATACTTTATTTAGGTTGATGACCAACGGAGTTAACGAACAGCGCCAATTCGTCAGTTGGATAGATGTTTATATTCTTATTTAGGTTGATGACCAACGGAGTTAACGAACAGCGCCAATTCGCCAGTTTGTTAACTACTATGTTGATTTGATTAGGTTGCTCTTAAATAAATATTGCGATGAGTATAGAGGTGATGACCAACGGAAGTAACGAACAGCGCCAATTCGCCAGTTGATTACCTTAGTATGTTGATTTCACATATGCTTTGTTTCAAACCTTGTAGGATGGGTGGCTTAGCATATAGGTTTCCCCCCTTTTAAGCTAACGAACAGTGCATTCACCAGTTGGTTAACTTACTGTTAAATTTTACAATCTTGGTTTGTACAATGTATCCAGCTAAAAACGGTTTATTATGCGCTTGTTGAATATCATATTACATATGGAATAGTAGCCTGGGGCGCTGTTAAAAAACATCTAAATAATCTTATAATTTGTCAAAAGAGACTTTTAAAATTTTTATTTAAAAAGGATAGACTTTAACCTACAAACGCGCTTTATAATGGCATTGGAGTTCTAGATCCTCGGCAATTATTTTTCTTACAAAGTACTTTAGAACAACACAAAAATAAGCATAATCTAAGATTAAATGAACATCATATTATAATACTAGAAATAAAAATAACTACTTACCAGCTACAACAAATAAATCTATAGGACAACAGTCACATGAGGATCTAGGACCTAAATTATTTTCATATCTACCACGTGATATCCTAAATATTACAAATTAATTACACTTTAGAAGGGCCTTAAAGAAATACATACCTGAAATACCTCGTGAAACTATTCATGAATTAATTGAATGCCCACACCTTTACAATATTTCTACAAATATCTCTGGAATATGATCATATTATATGTATCAATCTTTAGTTTTAGTTTAATGTGTTATTATATATATTTTGTACTTTTTAATAATTATTTGTTATTTAACTTATGCAAAGACCAAGTCTTTATCGAGTACCTATGCATGACTAAATATGTGTGTATTATTTCTTTAAATAAATAATTTCTAATCCAGGATAGCACATCCCTGTATATTTCTAAAATATTGATTTTTATAATTTCTATTGAAATGACTAAATACAACCCTGTATATTTTTTTATATTCATTAATATAATTTCTATTGAAATAACTGAATAAAACCCTGTATATTTCTTAATATTGATTTTTATAATTTCTATTGAAATACTCAAAATGTCACCCATCGAAAACATATTTTTATCCTAACTGTCTTTCGGGGTGTATGACCTGAAGGCCATGTGGTTTATTGGTTACATTTATATTTTGCAGAAAATGTCAAGCCCTCGTTTAAACGATCTCAAAGAAAGTTACATAAATCTTTTGACTCGCCATTGACAATACAGACATTAAATTATGTATTAATTTTATCTAGCTTTATGACGGCGTCGATTTAAGAACGTCGCCTTGCGTCGAGGCGTCTAGCGTCGTGGTGAAGAGTAAGGTATTTAATACGGTACTGCATTGGGACAGATTTAGGGTAGAAATATTTAGGTGGTGCGGTACGTGACGAAGAGTGTCAACAATAATATTATGAAGGAAATATTTAGGGGCGGCAAGCGTCGGGAAATAAGGCGTGGGACGTTGGGCGTCGGAATGAACGAAAGGTAGAAAATACTTAGATGGTGCGGAATGTGACAGCGTTCGAGACGTAGAAAGGTAGGGAATACGGCGTCTGAACGTTGAGCGTCGGTATGAATATAATGGTAGGAAATACTAAAGTGGTGTTAGAAGTGATAGCGTAGAAAGGTAGGGAAGTAGGACGGCAGGACGTTGGGCGTCGAGACGTTGACACCTTCGGAGACAGGAGGTATTGTAGGATAGACGTCGTTTAGGAAGAGCGTTTTAGGAAAGGTACAGACTATATAACTGGATACAAATAATAAAGTGATTGCTTGAATGTAAAATAATAAAATGAATGCTTGCACATCAAATAATAAAAAATGAATGAATCCGAGCTCATTTTGGTCAGGGTTCTTATAGCAGTGTCAATGGCTTTTTGTGACGTCTCTGTGTCTTAGTTCACAGCGAAATACGAATGTAGGTGCAAAGGGGGTGGCTGATTTATTATGTGCCTTGAGAGCTTTGTGTATCGAAATATTGTCGAAATCAGTCTTACATCAAAACTAGAAAGATAAGCGAGTTAAGTGTTTTAATGAGGATTACTTCGTGAAAAAAAAATATGTTTTATGGTGGTTTCAGGTCGGGTTCTCAGACACTTGTACGAAATTTGGATCTTTTACGGACGTGGTTATAAATAATATTTATTAGGTGTCGTAAATAAGATTTAATTATCTTGAAGATTTTTCGTTAAATAAAGAATTTTGAATTTGATAAGAATGCAGTATTTTATTAAATAAATTATTAAGGTACCCGGGTGAAGTAGGTTACAGTACCAAACTAAAAGAGGGTATAGGAAAGGGAAGGTAAAAAATTCTTCGAGTATTGCATATTACATTTGTATGTTTTAAATATTAAAAGTACGTTTCTAAAATAAACAGACAAGTGAGTTAGTATGGTGTCTAATAAATAATGGCTTACAAGAGACACCAGCATCAACTTTGCTCATATATCTTATTGCCCTCTTCTGTAAGACAAAAAATAGTCAAAAAATCAGAAGAAACTTATAGCACATCGCAGATGAAATTCTACCAATGAAAAGTATACACTCCTCGCAACCGAAATATATGAAGTTGTATGCAACAGTTCATACTGCAAAACATCCAGAGGAAAGCTACTTACAGAAACTATTAAGATGATTTCAAATTTTAATTTCTGGTCAATGAATAAGAATTTATTTTCGTTTTTTTTGCAAATTTGTTGCTGTCCAACTGAAATTATACCGATATCACCACTGAATGATACAATATTTGTTTTTGATGTTTTAAGAGGTAAATAATTTGAATACACCATTCATTTAATCTTAATAATGTCGGTGTTAATCATATTAGATAACTCTTCAATATTCTCACTTTCCCAGAGTATCGTTATATCATCTGCAAATATGGCGAAATATCCATTAATGACATTAATCATATCTTTAACATAAATTAAAAATAAAACCAGTCGCAGATTTCATCCTTGATCAACCCCACCTTTGTCTGCTTCCAACATAACCACAATAGAACATTGTAATCAAATAAGGACAGAGCCACAGTTTCGGGAACTATGGTGGTAATTTTTTGTTCGTTGTAGCATTATTGATTTGTAAATTAATATCATTATCATTTGCTGCAGGAACAGGAAATCGTGATAGGTGCTTTAATTGATTCTGATGACAGAAACCAGGCCCGAACGAACACTCGAGAAAGAAAAATACATATTCTTAAAGAGTAAAAGAACCCTATAACCAGTGGCGGCTCGTGGGCACTATCGGCAGTGGGGCACATACTGGAAAGGAATCCCGGGATTCGTTTTTCCCTTAGGAAAACAAGTTCTCCGCTTAATGAAAATTAAAATATTTCAAAACAATCAGTTGGGGCATTAACGATTTCTGAATGTGACTACATGGAGTTAAATTTGACCACTCAAAATGCATTTAACTATGTATGTGTCTATTTAATCAAAAAATCATTACATATCCACTCTTGCGAAAGTTGCGTAAATTTCTCAGAAGAATGCAATTTAACAATTCTAACTTGTTAACTCATTTTAAAGCATACGACTCTGAAGAAAAGGTGTTTGGCAATTTAAAATCTCCCAGCGAAAAATTTCTCTTTTATATTTTCAAATTAGAAAAAATATTTATATCTCTATTTGATAGTTTGTCAACTAAACCTGGAATTTCCTACGAATACCTTGCCAACAATTTGCGAAAATGTACACCATTAAATTATTTATAAGACTCAGAATTTTTTATACTCCTAAATATGCAAACAGAGATTTGAAATCCTCGAAAAAGTCAGACAAAACCAAAAGAAAAATTTTGTCCCATTTATAAATATTGATTTTTTTTCATCATATTTTTGACTGCTTTATAAAAAAAAGGTATTTTTCTTTGTAGTTTTATTTCTTAACTATTCCAATGGTCCAACTAACGTTTTTTCGTAATCACAATAAATAAATTATTATCATGGTCAAACAAACGCGCACATTAAGCCGAAATCGGCTTCGCCTTTGTGAGGGGGCCGGTAAAGATGCCTCTGCGTACATTCATATCTGGTCTAGGTAATCTGTTCTATAAGTAAAGCACGTCACGCTGAGGACAGCGCCCTGCTTGTGACGCGGTTTGCGCTGAATATTAGATAAAATAATAATAGGCATTGAGGAAAATATAAAATATCCAAGTTATGTATTTTTTTGGTTTATTATACTAGGGCACGTGCCCAAGTGCCCTTACGGACAAACCGCCACTGCCTATAACTGAAATTGATCTTGAAACATATATTTTGGATGCATAAATTGCCTTTGCCAGCCACCTAGCATGACTGCTGGGATATGAAACGATATCCCCATCGGAATGCCGCCAAGAAAGATCATCATTAAATCTAGCTAGTAATTATAGATAATTATCTCGCTGTTGTTTTTGCATAGAAAGTCGAAAAATAAGAGCCACCCTAATAAATATGTATGCTATTTTAGTCCGTTTTTAGAATTTTTCCATCTTCTCCCATGCACTTATTAACTAGATAAGATATTGTAATGCTGACTTCAGTAAAGCGTTTGACAGGGTAAACCGTTCCCTTCTAATTCACAAATTAAAATGAATGGATTTTCCAATCTGGTTACTAGTTATTATCTCTGTGGGAGAACACGCAGTTTGTGAAAATTAAAATAATCACATTTCAAATTCAGTAATGGTTTCTTTAGGAGTTTCGTAGAGATAACTTTTGGGACCACTGCATTTCAACCTCTTTGTTAATAAAATTATTAAATATGGCAAATTTTTACTGTATGTAATAACTTTAAAGTAGACTGGCAGAAAAACAATTAGAGTAAAATCAGATGATAGTACATGCCAAACGTCTTTTCTGCGCCCAGTTCAGAAGTTTGGGACACACTATATTATATATTGACATATTGTGTAATGGTAATTTTCAAAAACTTATTTATAGGATGGATCAATAGTATGGAAAACTGAGGTAGATGGTAACATATCTGCAAATGTTATGCATCACGAAAAATTTGGAATATTTGTGACAACCACCAGCGGATGTTGCTATTGTTTATCAGAAACCAATGGAAATGTCACTTGGGTGTACAGAAGTGAAATCCCAATTTTTGGAACACCTTGTATAACACATCAACTAGTTATAGTGCCATCAGTTTTTGGAATTTTGTTTTGTTTATCTGCACACAATGGAGAGCTTATTTGGAAATTTAAATCAGACGGACACATATTTTCATCTATAGTCAATTATAAAGATTTTATTATATTTGGGTGTCATGATAAAAATGTTTATGTATTAAGAATATCTGCTGCTGAATTTATTTTAGCAGGAAAGATTCTATTGAATAGCGAAATATCTTCAACGCCATTTGTTTATGAACAAAACAATTCTGTGAGGATTTTAGCGGTTGCTAATGTAGGAATAGTCTATTCAATTGATTTTCAAAATTTAACTGTGATACAGGAGTTAAAATTGCCTGGTGAAAGTTTTTCTTCGCCTTTTGTGTATGAAAATAAAGTTTATGTAGGTTGTAGAGATAATAATTTATACTGTTTATCATTAGAATGAAAGTGACTACATATTTTGTGTTCAGTAGAAAAATGTATGATCATTTGTTTCCACAATAAAAAAATAATAATGTTATAAGACTTACTTTAAAACCCTACTTGACTATTTTCTGCTTTTTCAAAAATGTACATTTCTCTTATACATTTTCGGTTTTTGAAATATTTCGACGGTCATTTAGTAAATCAAAATGCTATCAAATTTAGATAATTATTAAAAGAAAATTTATTTTATCCAAATACATAAAGTTATATAATTTTTGTTTCTGACGCCATACCTAAAAATTTTATTTGCATGCACGTGCGATTTTAAGGTTAAGTGGAAGAGTAAGTTTTATGGCGTATATCGCCATAAAAATTGAACTTCGCCTTTTATTTTCAATTTATAAATAATTGTTACACGGATATTGTCATGGAAATGATTTTTCCAAATCCTATACAGAACCAAGGTCTTTGTTCAAATCTGAGCTGGGGATTAATTAAATTGAATCTTTTTTCATGTTTATTTTATTTATTAGTTAAAGTCATAAATTATTTTAAAATTAGTTATTTTGTCTTATAAACCTAAAATAGTTTTTTAAATTTGTACATTTTCTTTAGTAGATCGTAGAAAAAATATGCTGTACAGCTCGAGTGCATTGTCCATATCCACGCTTGTTGCACAAACTACTAAACTCATTCGACTTTGGCATCGTTATTATACCGTCTCGCAAACCAATGCATCTAGGGAATGTGGTTTGGGGATAAGGCGTTGACTTTTCGAACCAGAAGTCGTGTGGATTCAGGTCTGGGTTTAATCATTTTTTGTTACATTTTTTTATTATACATACTGTTTAATTTGATTGTAATAATATTGGCATTTATATTTTATTCTAGTTTGTCTTAGTTTTATATTCACAATGTGTCTTGTATTCACATTTGTCAATGAATTGTAAAAGAAAAAAATACCTATGTATGTGATAAGTTAAATATGTGTTACGCTGAAACGTTTTCTCCAAAATTTAATTTAGTTTTTTCTGAACATAAAAAAAATTGAAAATTATCAAAATAATCGTAACTTTGCTAATTTTTTTAACTAAATCAAATTTTGGAAAAGGGGCTCCAGAGGAACATCACAGATTTAACCTACACGTACGTATTCGCCAGAAACTTGCTTGGCTATAAGTAATTATTTCGTAGAGCTTCTTACAGATCATACCAAGGAAGACCAATGAACGACACTCGCCCTTGGTTCCTAAACATTCGTTTGGCGTCGTTAATATACATGCATTTGTTGTTCGATCAAACATTCGTTAGGGCACGTATCTGGATAAATGTTCATTATGATAAGATACTCGTATGGAAATTCGTCCACATTTTATTTGCTCGAGTCGCCCACTCCTTTGATGTTATCGCTACGATTCCGCTAGTCGACAAACGCCAGCGACCCTCGTTGGTATTCGCTAAACCGTCTATGCCACGCCAACGAAACCCATTCGTTGACACGGTCTTTACTGAAAACCGGGGGACCGAGCGTCTTCGACGCTTCAAATTTTGAGATTTTAAAAGTTACACATTGCGCGTTGCACCGAGTGTATCATTTGAATAGTAAATTTTTGCAAAATAAAAGTTCAAGAAGTTTTAAAAAATGTATATAAGTATGTCATTAAATATTTTATAATTTTCATCTAAATAGTGTTCTGCAAATTCTTCTTGACCGGGTTCATCTATTTGGGGCTGTGGATCTAGCATCTGTTTCAATACTATATTACGAGTCCACGGAGCCTTTATAGGATTAAAAATTACTTTGATTGAACTTTTACGTTTGATTCGAGAGAATGCAACATAGAGCTTGGCCATGCGTAAACACATCGGTAATTTGACAGACAGACATTGGCACTTTAATATAGTAGGCCGTAATTTGTAATCTTTGACATCTAGGCGATTTCGTTCATTTAAATTTTCGACCGAATTCTATATCTCGGGAACCACAAAAGTAGGTACCATGATTTTGGTGTCATTTTGCTTCTCTAAGTGCGATTTTGTTCATTTAAATTTTCGAGCGAATTCTATATCTCGGGCACCACAAAAGTAGGTACCATGATTTTGGTGTCATTTTGCTTCTAGTGTCCCTAGCTTATATCTGAGGTCGATAAGGTTTTGGCTTTCTCTATCCCGAGATCGCGGCAAGGACAGACAGACATTGGCACTTTAATATAGTAGGATCTAGGCATTCAAAACAAAAGAACCTGTCGGTGGTATATTTAGATAGTTGCGACATATTCTATCTACAATACGTAAAATCATGAATAGGGGATTAAATTAAAATATGTTATGTTGAACACAATTAAAATATTAAACAAAGTACTTATACATTTTTCATAAATTGACAGGCTTGGCGACTATTTCGAGTAAAAATAACGTCCAAGATGGAAGACTATGTCGCAACCCCCTTAGATATAAGTAAATTCTTTTATGCAGTGGTTATCTATTTCACGAAACTATGACGTCAATATTTTTTTAAATGGAACAATTCATATTTTATATTAAAAAAGTTAGTCCCTTTAAATGCAAATCTTAATAATAATGAAAAATGTAATGAAAATGTCGACTTTGATTTATTTGAATTCAATAATTTTATAGTTTAGGACTGTCGGAATAAAAATGATTTTACATTATTTAAATGAAGCTATTTTAAAATGACTCCATCTATTCTCACCAAAATTGACTAGTTCCAGTTTGACATATGACGTAAAAGTGTAATGCAAAGATGCAGACACTTTAGCATCGTCATAGAATCTCCTTTATGCTATCTCAATGATATTTATCGATAAAATAAAACAATACAAATTTTTTCAAATGTTTATTTGTTTTCACAGTAAAAGAACTTTCAGATTCACAATTGTTGTGCATACTAAAAAAAAAAGAATGATGGAAAATGATTGCACGAATGTTTAGAACTCCCGTTTTGAACGAGTTCCTGTTAAAAATAAAAAAAAATGGAATGCTAAAGCTTCTTAATACTTCACCTAAACACAAATAATTCCCAAAAATCTTCTCAACAACTTTTTATACATTGAAAAGCATGTGGAACTAGAGAAAGAATTTCATATCATTAGAGAACATTTTTAAAGAGAACAGGTAACAATACATTTGAGAAATATTTTATTTAGGTTAAGGCTTCAAGCTGATACACATTTTTACCCATTTTTTCGATCTGGTAATATATATTAATCACAAAGATACACCATTTTTTTGTTTCAAAGTGCCTTATCACCAATTATTCAGACATGCATCTAACTAAAAACATAAAAGCTATATATATTTATATAAATACAATTTCACAGTTAACTTATGTCTAACTTACAATAAATTCCTTTTTGCAAATAATAAAAAAAAAAGGATTTCGTTTGAATCAAAAAGCTTGGCCTGATCTGTTTCAATTCATTTTTTGCCTTAACTATTTTTAAATTAACCAAGAAAATATACATATATTAATAAAAAGAAAGAAACAAAAATATAACATTCTTACGATGCCGAATGGAGGTATCAAAGGTAAGCTAAAAACTGCCAAGATTCATCTTCGTTTTCGAATAATGAATATCAAAGGTTCTTAAAAAAACGAGAGTATCATGAACTTCTTTCAAAGACTACTTAGCCATTTCTATAAACCAAATAGACAATTATCAAAAAAAGTTCCACATATATATTATTACCTACATAACTGCACCGACATCTTTAGACCCCAGTTGGATTGATTTATTGTTCTTCATCTCCCAGTTCGTGTTTAATCTTCGAAAAATCAAATTCTTCTCCCGTACCTCGCTTGAAAATGTCCAACACGTCCAAGCAAGTGGTTTCAAAATGAGTTGTTGCATCATATGACTGAGAAATGAAAATTTGAGATTGCAGGCCATCGTCAGTAGGTTCATAGTAGTCAGACACTGAGACGAATTTTTGACGAATAGCCCCTAGAAGGTCCAAACCCGGTTTTATTTCCACTTCTGGATTTTCGCTTTCTACAGTTGTCGAAACCATAGCCACAAACCAACCTAAGAAAAATTTTTATATAATTTAATCTTCAAATTCGATAGTAGTGGAGCCTGCGATCAAAATTTCAAGTTATCACGGCATGGATAATTCCGTGAAAATAATTATTAATTCAGGTTAAACCAAATAACTTTTTATTATGAAGGAAATTTTCGATTTTCCCATTCTTGATGGAATATTATTAAAAATAGTACGAACTGACACTTTGTGCATTGCAGAACACGGTAAAAAAAGGCACCCAGTCACCTTATAGCACTGATAAATACATTTCTTAAGGATCCAAAACATTGGAAAATAATTAATACTGACAATTCCCGCATTGCACGACTCTGGAAAATGTTACGGAGTCGCATCGTATGCGCTCTTTGCTTTGTCTAATATAATAAACAGAAAATGAAAATTTAAATATTTAATAAGTAAGAAGGTTATCTATAGTATTTTTAATACAAATACCGATGCACGTCAGAGATCATTTATGACGTCACGGGCTTGCAGTGTTGTCAGAATAGTTGAGGAATGTAAAAAGTTCATCTGAACAAAAAAGCTGTAAACATATTGCAAATTATGAAAAATAAAACTGTAAGGTAGTATATTGCAGATGGATCAAAATTGGTCCAAAATATCTTAAACTAATTTCATTTCACCAAAAAAGTTATTTAACAGAACTACATTTAAGTTATAATCTACAACAGCCCATAAAATTAAAGAGATCATGGTACTTTAGTAAATATCACTCTCAGTAACGGTTCTGTGTCTCAAGTATTCAAGATGGCCAGAATTGATTCAAAAATAGACTGATATCGCTGCTTCTTTCCAACTCTAAAATTATTCAAACATGTATGAACAATGATTCATCATTCATACATCAAGATTCTCTATCCTACCAGTTTTAAAAGAAATTTGTTATCAGTGGATTATTTAGCAATGTGAAACTGAAATATTCTACTTTTTGCTATAATATTTACTCTTATATGTGTTTATTGGTTCTAGTCTTTTTCCAATCATTGTAAATATTAAATTGTATGACTAGCATAGCGAAACTTTAGTCTAATATTTTTTATATATGAATATATATAAAAAATAAATAAAAATACAGTGATTTATATATATATATATATATATATATAGTCATTTTGAATACTTAAAAATCCCCTTTGGGTTGATAAACGGCCCCTTTTTTTTTTCAAAGTGCAATAGACAAAGCTTCGGATAATTTACGGTTCGAACAGGTACTTGTTTACATGAATGATTTATTAATACCGACTGTGTCGGCAGAAAAGGGTCTAGATTTACTAGATATGGTTTTAAAATTTTTGAGCGAGGCTGGATTTAAATTAAACTTTAAAAAATGTTCCTTTCTTAAACAATCTATAAACTTTTTGGGTCATGAAGTGGGTCCGAATGGCTTATCTCCGGGTTTTCCCAAAGTAAAATCCATCGAGAAATTCAAGCAGCCTACAAATACCCATGAAATATGCCAGTTTTTGGGTTTAGCAGGATATTTTCGGAAAATTATTAAAAATTTTGCCATAATTGCCCTTCCTTTGACAAAATTAATATAAAAAAAAATGCTTAATTCCAATGGGAAGAACCACAAATTTCTGCTTTTTCTGAATTAAAAACTAAATTAATGTCAAAACCGATCTTAGTCCCCTGTAAACCTAAATTAAAAATAAAATCGAGATACACACAGACGCTAGTTCAATGGGTTTGGGAGCAAAATTTTTTCAAGTTCATGACACGGATCAACATAAATCAGTTGTATACTTTAGTAGAGTAACTAGCCCGGCAGAACAAGTTTATCACAGTTATGAATTGGAAACTCTTGCTGAATTGAAAGCTTCAAACGTTTTAGAATTCACTTGATTGGCTATCATAACAGATTGCTCCACCGTTCGATATACCTTCTCAAAACGTGACTTAGTTCCTCGTATTGCTAGGTGGTGGTTATCAATACAGGACCTTGACTTTGAAATTGAACATAAACCTGGAGCAAGCATGAAGCACGTGGATGTCCTTAGCCGAAATCCGTCGGTCCATGTACTTAAAATAAATACTGACGAGTGGTTTTTAACAATCCAGATGCAGGATGACGTTTTGCAACATTTAATCCAACAAATTAAGAATAAAAGAAATCGCGATTTAAAAGTACAATATATTTATAAAATGAATCGTCTTTTTAGAAAAACATTAAATGGCGAGAGATTGGTTATTCCAAAATTTGCAAAGATTTCAACTTCTTCAAAAATATCATGACTCAATCAGGCCTCCTGGTTTTACTCGTTGTTTAAAATTAATAAAACATCAATTTTGGTTTTCAAAAATGACTCGATTTGTAAAAAAATATGTAAATAGTTGTTTGGATTGTAATTACAAAAAAGGTAGTTATGGAAAACTTGAAGGTGAATTACATCCAATTCCAAAACCAGATAGCCCTATGCACATTGTACATATTGATCATATTGAGCCATTAAAAAAAAATAGATTCGGTTTTTATTACATATTAACCCTAGTAGATTCTATTACAAAATACATGGTAGCCAAACCATCGTACACATTGAGTTCTGCAGAATGAATTAAAAATCTAAGAAAAATATTTGGGGGATTTTTAGGATATCCTAAGGATATCTGACAATGGACTGGCATTTACAAGCAGGTATTTTAAAGAATTAGTTGATAGTAAGCAAATTTAGCACACAAGAACAGCTACTGAAACCCCTAGGGCAAAAGGCTAGGTAGAAAGTGTTCATACAACACTTTTGGATGCAATGCGTACGACGACTAACGATAATGATGCAAATTGGAGTGACAAATTTCCAGAAATGTGGGGAATTAATAATATCTTTAACGACAGCCCCAAACACACTCCTTTTGAACTTCTATTTGGTTATAAGGTTAATCTGTAGAATAATATAGAAAATGCATCATGTTCCATCGAATTACACAGAAAATAAAGAAGGCTAGTGAAAATCTAAAACGAGTAGCTGGAAAAAGAAAATTCGTTTTGATAAAAAACGCAAGCCCCCAAAAGGTACAAAAAGGGCGAATTGGTACTATAGAAAAGTGGCATCTTGTAGTAATACGTGCGTCAATAAAAAGTGGAAAGTTTTCAGATCCGTACTTGATTGAAAAGATATTTGATAACGATAGGTACAAAATAAGAAGTGCAAGAGGTATGAGAGGGTATAAGAAATTTAGTACAATGGGAAATGAGATTGAATCAGATAGGATTCAAATACTAATGTACGAAATACAATATGATTTAGTTGGTTTATTAGAAAGTTAATAGTATTTTATGAATGTATTTAGTTTGATGGTTGACAGTTAGGCTTGATTTTACCTCACATCGGCAGTCGAACAGGACGACTAAAAAGGCAATATGTGAATTTAAGTAAACAGTTGACATCGGCAGTCGGGCAGGACGACTAAAAAAGTAACCTGTGAGACTATGAGCTAGACCTTAATGTGGGCCGTACAAGGGCGGCTTAAAATGGACCTGTATTAAATGTAGATATTAAAATTGCCTTAATAAAGGGAGCATAGAAGGATTAAGTCTAAATGAAAAAAGAGGAAATAAAAGGTACTGCCTCAAATTTTCGGTTTTACAGGTATCTTCTATGCAGTGATTGGAAATACGAAAGCGGGCTGAAGGTATTCCCGAGGACGGGAAAGATCCAGGATAGCCGAATGTCATTTAGATTTTAGGCACAAAAAAAAACATACATTATCATTATTATAAAATATATTTAACTAGCTTTAGTCGACAATAAAACCATCATGTAATATATGTCTGGGATCCAGTATTGGTTATGGTGAGGTGTCAAATAATTTAACTTAATGGTTCTTTTCAAATTAAACAAAAGATGTTAGGGGAGGAGTTGGGTAGTTTTTAGAGATTTTAGTAGAAAGAAGTCGAAATGTATTGATAGAACTCGGACCGTTTTTTTTTAAATAAATAATTTCTTTGAGTTGAATTCATCTTTAATTTATAGTTTTTACAATGTAGTAATTTAGTAATATGACTACGTTCATGAATGCTCGTGAATATTCGTGACATTTTCGGATTATTAGCTTAGTTAGGGACATTTGAATTAGTTGGTAGTACTTTGACGAAAGACCAACGTCATTGACGACGTATAGCGGGATTTGTATTAAAAATACTATATCTAACTAAAATATGTAGGATTTAAAATATTTCTTGAACAAATTAATACTGTTTAATGTCAATAAGCAAGTTTCGTAGATTTTTGGAAAATGATTAAAAAAAATTATAGCACTTTTGGCTTATTAATTTATTTGCATGTTTAGTAACACATTTATTTAGTTTTTGCCTCATGTCAAGGCTGTGTTCTATGTTTTATAATACCTGTAAAGTTGTCTTAGACCAATATATGAATCATGGGCATTTAATCCCCAAAATAATGAACACTTAATTAACGAACATTTCATCCCATTTGAAAATTAATTTTGTTTTGTTATTTATTGGCTGTTTAAAAAAGTAAAATCGTTTTTTATTGGTTGCGATTTTGTTTCTATTTCCTGGGTTCTTTGCATTCTAAAACTTGCAATTTCATGGAAGAATTTTAACTAGTCATAAAATTTCGATTTTCGCTTCACCTGACTACTGCGCATATCAATAACAAAATGTCTATTTTTTAAATATTCATTCACTTATTTCATAGATGTATGTAGCAATTTAATCCATATATTCACATAAACTTTGGAAAAAACTTCGTGCCCTTATGAGGTATCTATATTATTAGGAGAAAAACAAAAGTAGAAATTGAATCTAATAACCTTAAATTAATTACTAGATTGCCTTATACATATTATGCTTCTAAGGTCTAGCGGTTATGTTGGTACAGTATACTAAAGGTCACAGGTTTGATTCCGACCTGAAGTGGAATTTTATGTTTGTTCTTTGGTTTGGTAGTAATACAGCAGCAAATACATTTCAGGAACCATAAAAAGTAAAAATATATTATATCAGAGAAACTAGGAAGCCGATAATGGAAAATGAGGAAATTGAAGAAGATTAATAGGAAAATGGTACAAGAAATCAATTATAACAACTCATTAGTACACAAATATGAGAAGACCAGATAATGTTGAACAAAGTCGGCAACAGATAACAAAAATCACTGAAGACATGGAAGAGAATGTCAGTATCCTGCCAAGAAATTCAATATGGTTTTGAGAAAAAACTATTTCTACAGTATGTAGCATGAATTTTTAACCACAATTTTGTTTGTTTCTTAAGATCCTTAAATGATTTGAAAACAAAATATTTAAATTTAACTCACCTTTAGCAGCTACCTGATGAGTATAGCTCACAACAGAAACATAGATATCAGAACTACGCCCAACTTGTTTTTGAGGAATGATAACTTGAGTAGACAGAGCATCTTTGGTATTAGCTATAGGGTGATCCAATAGGCAAATACATCTAATAACTTTTCCCTTCTTACGAACTCTATCTGGGACATAGGTTGGGTCACAGTACACCTAGAAAGAAAAAAATAATAATAAGATTTTTAAGAGCCCCCTTTAATAATTTATAAGGCACATTAGTATTTCACTACTAAGAATAGTAATTGCGACATAGCTACTTTTTTTTATTAAAAAAAATATATATGTATCAATAATTGTGTTACCTGTTTACATTTGGCAATTTCATTACCAGAACGAACTCCTGCAACTCTACCCCCTTCACCTAAGACAATTTCATCAATTGGTTTGTCTAACATGTAAGTTCCACCATAGATTGCTGAAAGTCTTGCAAATCCTGTAAAACATACATAATTTCTTTACTATTACACAAAAAATTGATAATTTACAATTCTGCATCATTTCTAATATATTAAAAATTCTTATAATTAATATTCAACAGATGTTGTCGTATTATTAAGTACGGACCTTGAGGTAATTCACCCAGACCATACATTGGATACAAATATGGCGACTTTCCATATCTGGCCAATGAATCAGAATACAATTTAATCCGGTTAATGGTCTCTATAGCAGGTCTATTCAAATAATCATCATCTCTATGCAAGGCTAAAGCATGGCCAGTGAAATCTTGGGTGTTCTTGTCTAGACCAAACTTTTCATAGAGAGCTGTCATGTTCTGAGTACTGGGATCAAAATCCTTCCAAGTCTTGGGATCCTCAGGCTGGAAATCTTGCACATAAATTAGGAAATTACGGAAACGTCTTTTCTCGAACATTCCCATGAGGTCCGAGGCAAGGGCTTCCTTTTGATCAACGGGCACCTATAAAAAAATAAGATTTTTTCAAAAACGTTGAAACCAAAATAACGTGAAATCGAAAAATATTTTTGTAATTCGTCCAGATACATTAGTACTTAAACCATAGTAACCTAGTATTTACAATATTTAAATAGCTCTAAAAGTTTCTAAAAAAATTTGGAATGAAAATTTTATTGGGACACTATAATTCTTTAATATATATTTTATTTGAAACAAATGAATGTATAATTGTGAAATTGTAGGATGATGAATAATTGTATCCTGTATTTTTTAGAGGACATGTCAAATGTATGTAACGTCAGCGTTTAGCGCCATCTTGATTTTTTTTAAAAGGCAATGTAGGCCGAGTGATATATCAGGGAAAAGCGCATTTCTTCATCTTTTCAAGAATACTAAAAAAGTATCACATTACTAACGTAATACAACAAAAAAAATTGAAGATATAATACATGTAATTGTTGAAGTTACATTAATTTACAAAAGTAATAACTAAACAAGAAAAAAATGCAGTTTTTTCATAACAAATGCTCAAAGTGTGATAGTGTACAAATGCGACATCCTGTTGAAAAAAGACGTTCCCATTTTGAGAAATAAAATGTTTATTTTAGGTATAATTTGATGTTGGAACAGATCGGGATATTTTTCACCTGTAAGAGCGCCGCCAATAAAAAAGGACCTATCAAATGGTTTTTCGCCAAATCAGCCCACACATTAACTTTTTGTGGATATTATGTTTGAATGCAGATTAGAATCTGACCAGTACCAGCAATTATGTCTGTTAACAGTACCGTTCAAGCAGGAAGCTTCATCACTGAATAAAAAAATCTAAGAAATTGTTTTGCCTACCAATTTTCTCTAAAACCATTTCACAAAACTCTAATCTCTGATTAAAATCATATTCTGCTAATTTTTGTGGTTTTTAATTTTATAAGGGTGGAACTTTTATGAAAAATGTTTTGTACAGTCTTCCTGTTAATACCATGATTTCTTGACAGTTTATATGTTAATAATTTAGGATTTTTTTGAACATCTCAAGTCTTATTTTCATTAGTTGTAGTTTTGATCTGCCAGATCGTGGACGATCTTGTATATTACTGGTTTCTTTTAATTTATTCATTATTCTCGAAACCATGGATCTAGTTATAGGAGGTCTTTGAGAATTTAATAATAATAAATAATAATATTAACAACAATAATAATAATATGGGGTGGGTTGGCTCAGTGGTTAGAGTCATGACTTTGAGATCGGAAGGTCTCAGGTTCGAATCCCACCGTTGGCCGGGATTTTTTCATTTAATTTAATTATTTAAAATTAATTCTGATGCCTTGGTAGGATTCCCCACTCGACCATTCACTGTTGGGTTCTAATTAACAGTGCTGTTCCTAAAGTGGCGCTGGGAAACAGTAACAAAGCCTACACAGAACACGAGGCTAATGGCCGTAGTAGTCGACGCCGATGACACAAAAAAAAAAATAATAATAATAATACTAATAATTAATTCTAATGCATATGTAGGGTTCCCCACTCGATCATTCATTGTTGGGTTCTAATTAACAGTGCTGTTCCTAAAGTGGCGATGGGAAACAGTCACAAAGCCCACACAGAATACGAGGCTAATAACCATAGTAATTGATGCTGATCCAAATAAAAAAAAATAATAATAATAATAATAAGTAAATGCTACTTTGGTGATCGAGAACTAATTTTTACGAGGCGCAGCCGAGTTAAAAAAAATAGTCGAGATCACCAAAGAATTTCGCGCATGAGATGCAAACAAAATTTTTTCTACAAACGTCAAAAATATTATTCTAAAATAAGTAACATGCTTAGCTTAATATGAAAAATAGTATTGAACTGGCTTAAACTGTTTTTCCAAATCAAGTAATTACTGTAACTATGGAAATAAAATGGCATTTGTTGACAATTATTTCAAAGTGACAGTTCTTGATAATTATTTTGGAGTGACTTTTTATTCGCGTCAATTTCGTGCGTGATATTTATAACTGTAAAATAATGGAAATTTCGAGCGACGATGAAGTAAGCAGTACCCCACCTAACTTGACAGATGCGGCCAATTCAGTAATTTCAAATCTTTTACCGGAGAAATCGAGGCGCCAGTATGAAAATGCATATCAGCAATTTAAAGAGTGGTGTGAAGCAAATAAAGCCAGAAAAATATCCGAAAATGAGCTGTTGGCATATTTTGCAGAGAAGTCTAAGAAGCTGAAGTCTTCCACGTTATGGGAAGTATATTCTATGTTGAAAGCAACACTCAATGTTAAAGAAAACGTGGATTTTAAGAAATTTACCAAGTTGGTTCCATATTGTCAGTTGGAAACCATCCTAAGAAATCTAAGGTATTGACTAGAGAGGAAGTTGAACAATTCATAAGAGAGGCAGATGATGAAACCTATTTGTTGGTTAAGGTAGATTTTTGATGATTGTTTTATGTGTTTTTTAAATTATTGATTTCCTTTTAGGTTGTTTTAATACTGGGTATTTCGGGTGCTTGCCGCCGTGAGGAACTCACTAAAATGACGGTCGATGACATAGAAGATAAAAATTCCATTTTGATTGTTAAAGTACCCGATACAAAAACGAATATACAACGAATTTTTACAGTTTCAAATTTAGATTATATTGACATTTACCGAAAATATGCGGCTCTTCGTCCAAGTTATGCTACCAGTCGCCGATTGTTTTTGAAGTATCAAAATAAAAGATGTTTTAACCAAGTTGTTGGAATAAATAGTATTGGAAAGATGCCTAGCTTAATAGCAAAACACCTAAAATTACCAAATCCTGATGCCTACACGGGCCATTGTTTTCGGAGAACATCAGCCACACTCCTTGCTAATACGGGGGCCGATATATGTGTTTTGAAGCGACATGGAGGATGGAAATCTTCGTCTGTGACCGAAGGATACGTGGAAGATTCTATCAACAATAAAATTCAAATATCAAATAAAATTTTAGATTGTGAAATTTCAGGATCAAGTGCTGTCAACTCTACGGCAGTTGCTTGCAAATCAAAAATGGATAGTCTTCCAACTCCCAAAACTACGATATCACGAGCTGAATCTAAGTTATCTGGTTTAGGAATAAATATTGGTTCGTGCACTGGCTGCACCATTAATGTTAACATTGTAAATAATAAATAAAATTAGGTAGTGTTAAATTTTCTCACAATTTGAAAGCCTTAATTATTGTTATACATTAATAAATAAATGATTTCTTGAATTTTTGCTTGATTGAGGAACATAAAGGTTAAGATATAAAAATCCCATATAGTTTACATGCAGTGTGCGAAGTAAGTATTTCGCACACTACTTCGCGCACGGTGTCATGGTAACGAAGGAAAAGGAAAAAAGGGTCACTTCGCATATTGTTGTCAATGCGCGAACCTTGTTATTTTTTGACGTTTGTCTCAATCTCAATCAAGAGCTTTTGATCTAACATTCAATTTTAATTCTCCAAAAGGTTACAGCTACGTAAGAAGAAAGACTTGCCTCTTACCAGACTCAAAATATCAAAATGTTGCCAACCAATTGATGGTTCTCCTGCTTTACATAGAGTGAAATTCTCCTCGAAAGTACTAAAATAAAAGTGGCAGAGGCAACCGAAGAAGGCAAAAAAGTCTTGCCAAACTAAAACAAGAAATTTGTTTAAGAACCTATTATTGTTTGAAGATTTACCATTAATAATGTTTGATAACGTTTTAAGATTATGAAGTTCTATATGTATTTTTCTCTTTGATAACCTATGTTTAAATTTTTATTGGGACCAAAAATAAATTATAATTTTCAATTTAAGTACAAAAACCCTCACAATATTGAAAATTGCAAAAACGTCAGATTAGTTATGTTCAGGGATCATCAACTCTTTAAACATGTATCTACTTAAAATGTGTTACTTTTAGAAGGTTATTAACTTTCTATTTGTATTAATTTATTTCATTTTATCTCTGTTTGTTGTATTTTCAAATTGATTTTTATATTAATCTTATCTATTTCTATTTTTTTTATATTCACATATATGTTTTTCATTGAACCAAACGTTTATTAGATTATTAAATATAATAAAATTCACGTTGTTTTATTATATGCTTGCATGAATGATTACTTTTATTTCTTTTTGAAAATTAATTTCGAAGATAAAGCTGAAACGGTGAGTGAGAATAAAAAAATTAGACGAAAATGAATTTACTGGAGCTTTCATCTACACTTTCCTTTTTCTAGTCTATCTACACCTGAGACAGCAAGATTCGTCTTCCCTCCATCCTTAAATAATAATAATAATAATCCCTGAACAAGCTCAGCTTTTGGGGTTAAAATTCACTCGTAAGAGGATGAATTAGAGAGAGTATTATTATTAAGATTCTAAGATTTACAGAGAAAACGCCAAATCATCTTTCACATATCCGGGCCTTCTTTAAAACATTATCGGCCTTATTTGTTATCCCGAGCAATTTAAATGCATTCGTAATTGCGCATTCTAATCTCTTGTGTATTCCGTACCCATTTTTCTTATTTTTAGTTTAGTTTGCACCGCTCTTTTATTTTTCCTTTACCACAGCTTTAATTCTACAATATGGATGCATTTTTGTGATTTATACTATTTAATTTTAATCGTAAGTGACCAACCTATTCTTATATCGTTCCTATTAAAATAATTAGAGATTATTGTATTACAGGCCTGAAGATGTCTCTGCGAGGCCGAAACTAGTCTCCTGTATTTATTTATAATAAAATTGATGTATTGGTTGAGGTTTTATTCTTTAATTGAAAAAAATTAGACCTTTACAGAAATTTTGTTCTATTTCCTGCATCAGACACACATATAAGACGACATACATTTTAAAAATAGTAAAATTAGCGAATTTTTTAGTTTTTTTTAACAATTAAAAATTTTTTACAATGTGTATTCTTACAGAGAAATGATACGCCACTGAACAAGAGGGGAATTTACCTTCCCCCTTGTGCCCGCTTCCTCACTTCCTCTA